AAATACACGTACATAATGATTGACCAAAAATTTCTATTTAAAACTCTCAAGACTGATTATCATTACACCACAACATTAGAATTTCTTTGAATAATCTTCTTAATGTATCAAACTGCTTAAAGTAAATAAGGAATTTTCAGACAGAAATGTAACTAGAGGCTCTAAAGAGTCTGTGTTGCTCACCTAAGCTTATGTGCATCTCAACAAGGACACTTTCCAACATTGTGGACTAGAAAATAATTCATAACTAAAATTTCTTTTTTGTTGATCTTATATTGCTGATCATTTTTTTTGTTTCCAGTTTCTCTCTAAAAATCATTATTTTAGGGCAATCACTCCTATAAAAAGTCTACTAACAATTTAGGCAAAATTTGACTTGTTGGTAGATCTTGTCTTGCAGATTATTTTTGCTATTCAAAGTATCTATGTATGTTTTATAGTTTTCAAGATAATAGTTAAAAATGCAAAAAATGTGTATTTTCCAATATATCAAGGACCATTACTCCTAACGACAAAAAAGAAAACTGTCAATTTTAAACTTGCCCACCATTTGTCATCAGTAACAGCATATTAAAATTTTAAGAGCATTGCCTGAACGGTTCATAATTCATTGAACGAAACGACATAAAGTGCCATTTTCCAATTTATCAAGGACCATTTCTCCTGAGCGGTTAAGGGAAAATTGCCAATATTGATATTGACCTCCATTTTGTCATTAATATCAACATATAAAAATTTGAAAAGCATTGGTTGAACAGTATATAAGCTATTGCATGGAAACTTGGCAGCAGCCATCCCACTCACTGTACTTCACCAATTAAATAACTGTTGTTTTTCCTTCAGAAAACATAGTTTAAAAATGAACAAATTTCATAAAATTCATCCTTTAAGAGAAATAGCTCTTTTCAAAAGTCATCTGACAGTTTTGATTTAAATGGATAGTTGGTAAATCTCAACATTTTGAACATTTCTACACGTCAGATTTTCTCTATTCATAGCGGTTTTCAAGATAATAGACAAAACTTGCGCGAACCCCTATGTTCTATTTTTAGCCAGACACATTTTTAAACTAGATACCCGATGATGATTGAGGTCAAGTTTAGTTCAATTTGGCCTAATAGTTTAAGAGGAGAAGATTTTGAATAAGTTAAGGGAAGACGAAGAACGACGGACTCCAAGTGATTAGAAAATCTCACATGACCCTTTGACCCAGGTGAGCTAAAAAGGATATTGGGCAGATGTTCACACTGCAAAAACTTCATGAGTTGAATAACCAAAATACCCCAAAAAACAGCTCTTTAATCGCTGTTCTTCTCCTTGATAGTTGCTAAAAATTCTACAAACAAAAACTATAAAATCTCTAACAACACAGCAAGGTCATTACAACCCTAGATTGACTTTAGCAAACTCTTTGATATCTATCTGTGACTGATACATATACTATAAAAGAAGTATATGCATAAGTAATCATGTGAGTATTCAATTAACTGCATATAAATACTGGTGAAGTCTTCTAAAAAATTCTATCATTCATTGCCTGACAAAAGATTATAATCATAACAACTACAAACTAGAGGCTCTCAAGAGCCTGTGTCGCTCACCTGTATTTATTGATGCTTTGGAAATCATGTAAAATAAGGTTAAAATCATAATTAATAGTATTAGATATTAGATATTATAATGATATCTAAGATAATAACAAAAAACTGTAAAATTTCTGTAAAATTACTAACTCAGGGGCAGCAACCCAACAACGGGTTGTCGGATTTGTCTGAAAATTTCAGGGCAGATAAATCTAAATCTGATGAACATTTTTGCCACCTGTCAGATTTGCTCTAAATGCTTTAGTTTCAGAGATATAAACCAAAAACTGCATTTTACCCCTATGTTCTATTTTAAACCAAGTTCGCCATGATGGTTAGAAGGCGTGGGTCATCGGACAAATTTTTTAAACTAGATACCCTAATAATGATTACGGCCAAGTATGGTTAAATTTGTCTCAGTAGTTTCAGAGAAGAAGATTTTTGTAAAAGATAACAAAAATTTACGAAAAATTGTTAAAAATTGACTATAAAGGGCAATAACTCCTAAAGGGGACGACTGACAATTTTGGTCATGACAACTTATTTGTAGATCTTACTTTGCTGAACATAATTGCTGTTTACTGTTTATCTCTATCTATAATAATATTCAAGATAACCAAAAACTGCAAAATTTCCTTAAAATTACCAATTCAGGGGCAGCAACCCAACAACAGACTGTCAGATTTTTCTGAAAATTTAGAAAGATAGATCTTGACCTGATAATATGTTTTACCCTATGTCAGATTTACTCTAAATGCTTTGGTTTCAGAGATATAAGCCAAAATCTACATTTTACCCCTATGTTCTATTTTTAGCCATGGCCGCCATCTTGGTTGGTTGGCGGGGTCATCGGACACATTTTTTAAACTAGATACCCTAATAATGATTGTGGCCAAGTTTGGTTAAGTTTGGCCCAGTGGTTTCAGAGGAGAAGATTTTTGTAAAAAGCTAACGACAACGGACGACGGACGCCAAGTGATGAGAAAAGCTCATTTGGCCCTTCGGGCCAGGTGAGCTAAAAAGCAAAAAACCAAGAACAATATTATCAAGACTTTTGTATGAAAGCTTGACAAGAAAAAAAGGTTGAAATTTGCATAAGCATGTAAAAAGTCTGTTATTAGTCCCCTACCGACGTCATGCTTGAAGATATTGATTTGATAAATGGTATATAGTTTTATCATGACAAGTTACAGATCAAGTTCGAATTTTGTTCCGGTCTGATGATTTTGTGCAGAGTTATGGTGTTTGGACTTAGAAAATTCACTCAAATAATCAGTTTTCCTCACTTTTTTTCGTCACTTGAAGATATGGATTTGATAATTGGTATATAGTTTTATCATGACAAGTACAGATCAAGTTTGAATTTCCGTTCTGATGATTTTGTGCAGAGCTATGGTCCTCGGACTTAGAAAATTCACTTAAATAATAAGTTTTCCACACTTTTTTCGTCATGCTCGAAGATATTGACTTGATATTTGTTATATAGTTTACACCATGACAAGTTATAGATCAAGTTAATAGCATATTGTTCCAGTACAATGGATTTTTAACCGGTAGGGGACTATGTATTGCCATGCAATGCTCTCAGAATGCTTGTTAATCTTTCATTTTCACAGGTCCTTCCCCTCATCAACTGAACAGTAGAGATTACCATTCAAAACTTCACATCTTTTATAAAAGATCTGTTTCCAAAAAGCTCAAGCAAAAACTGATAGAGGCATCTATTAGAATATATTAAGAAAGTTTGAGCAAGAAATGTTAAATATTCTGCTCTTATTTGAACTCCTAAAGAGCCAACAAACCACTTCAAATTAGACAAACCTTTCGCTTACAAAAAGGGAAAGACATGCACCTTATCAAACTATAAATTATAATTCATTTCCCTCTTTATCATGTAAATCATCATAAATTTCACTAAATTAAAATGTTTTCATAAATCATAGTTTTTTTATTCACTTGACAAGATTTCAATTATATCTGAGTTCAGAGTATAAATGTTATCTACACCAAATAATTAATTACTCTTCTTTAGACCAAGGTTACAGGCTTTTATGTCTGTCAAACACTTTGCTATATGCACAACACATATTTTAGATGACTGTGATCATATAAAAATACTGTAAATTCAGCAATTAAGCATAATGATTGCATTTATTATTAGGAATCACTGTTGACTAGTAAAAATTCGAGATTTAATTAGTGCGATTGCAAATATTTTCTGAAGGGAAATTTCTACAGAAATTATGAATGCAAGTTTTTATTATTGCAAACATGATGCTGTACCATTTTTAGCATTAAAAAAAATCATCACAATAAATTCTGAATTTTTTTACAATTTTTTTTTACAATTGTCTTGTTTTTGTAGTTACCCAATATAAATCAATAGTTTAAATCAATCAACAAATTTATCATTACTATTGCATACATAAATAATTCCATAAATTTCAATATAGATTATTCAAAGGCATCATTAGGTTACATAAAATCTCCAGGTCATAGAGGGTCATTTTCCTTTGAGGAACTAATCTGCATGTCCGAAAACAATTGAATCAAATAATTTATTGGTTACAACAACTATAATGTTGATAAAAAGCTTGAGAAGAAATCCAGTCTGGAAAGGGGAACTTGATAAACAGTATGTGAAGGGCATTTTAATTCTTTTCTCCAAATAGTGAGGGAATAAGTGATAAAATGGTGGGTGTTGCACACCAAGGTTTACTGACATCAGTAATTACAACATGTACTCGATTTTTTGTCAATTTTGGATATAAAAAAACTCCAGTTCACATGCTATCAATTTTGCAGGAATAAATTTTTACAATGTAACAACTTAAGAACTGTATGGTATTTTCCTTCAAATATTGTAGCACTAAGAACAAATAGCTTAAAGTAAACAAATAAACAGAGGAGAGGAGAACTATTTGAGAAATTTAACAATTAAAAGTTTCATCAAAGCTTATCCAGTGTTGAATAACTGTCAACCTTAAACATGAACATGAATTGACACTTGAAAGGTTTATTTTAGTATATCATGTAGAGGGAGATAACTACGATATCTTTACACTGGAAATAGTTATATACAAAAATATACTTTTAACTGTAGTATATAATCACTTCATTATTTCTGCATTGTTTTCAAATTGATATATTTTCATTGAAAGTTAGTAAGTTTTACTATTAAAAAAGAGATAAGTCATTGTCAATTAGATTGCTATTTGCATTCATGTTTTCATGTTAAATAAATGCATAGAACATATTTCATTATCAAGTTGGATTACTAGGACCTGCTGAAAATTTCAGGTTTGTTGAGATACTTTAGAAAGGATTTCTTATCTTAAATAAATAATGTTTGTGCTTCCCTATTCACAAGCCATGAAATGTGAGGTACATACAGTTCATAAAAATACAGCCACTTACTTGGCAATGGATGGACCAAATATTGTCCTGATGTTGTCTACAGGTGTAGAATTAACTGGGGTTCTCACATCTGCTGTACTGTCTCCATGCTAAAATATTCATTTCAACTTTGTTAAAATTATTTATACAAAATTGTTTTTATATAAAAATTAGAAAATTAACCATGGGCTCCTTGTGACCTAAGTTTTTGTTTTAAAACATTTTTCTGATTTTTGACTCTGTCCCTTTTTTGGCCCCTCTGGACCCCCATTTTGAAAGTCTTGGATCTGCCAAGGTTTAGTAAACTATTGTAAACATTTTTTTAAAATTAAATCACATTTCAACACAAAATATTAGATCAATTTTGTAAAAGGTATAACAGTCTTAATGGTATCAACAAAATTCGTAAGGGTTCCACAAAACCCAGTGTCTCGCCTACTTTTTCTGTTAATTGCAGGCTCAACAAGAATGAGGAAGTAAATCAATAAAAATATTCCACTTGATACTATCTTTTGATTGTAAGAAGCTTCTGTCCAAGTTTGGTAAAAATCAAGGATAGTTTATGAATCTAATAAAAGTTTAAAAACTTTAACTGCAGACTGAATGTAATGTTAACTGGAAGAAAACAAAATTTCCTTCTAGATACTAGCTTTTGATCATAAACAAGCTTCTGTCCAAGTTTGGTACAAATCCAAAATAGTATAAGAAAGTTATTAAAATTTTGAAAACTTTAACCACAGAGTGAATGTGTTGTTTCCTGGCAGAAAATCTAAGTCCATTTAAAAGTAAAATACGGAAAAAATGGATTTATTTTTTTACAAAATTTCCTTCTAGATACTAGCTTTTGATCATAAACAAGCTTCTGTCCAAGTTTGGAACAAATCCAAAATAGTATAAGAAAGTTATTAAAATTTTAAAAACTTTAACCACAGAGTGAATGTGTTGTTTCCTGGCAGAAAATCTATGTCCAATTAAAAGTAAAATAAAGAAAAAATGGATTTATTTTTTTTAACAAAATTTACTTCTGGATACTATCTTATGATCATGAACAAGCTTCTGTCCAAGTTTGGAACAAACCCAGGATAGTTTAAGAAAGTTATTAAAATTTTAAAAACTTTAACCACAGAGTGAATGTGTTGTTTCCTGGCAGAAAATCTATGTCCATTTATAAGTAAAATACGGAAAACATGGAATTTTATTTTTACAAAATTTACTTCTGGATACTATCTTGTGATCATAAACAAGCTTCTGTCCAAGTTTGGTAGAAATCCAAGATAGTTTAAGAAAGTTATTAAAATTTTAAAAACTTTAACCACAGAGTGAATATTTGTGGATGCCGCCGACGACGCCGACAGAATGTAGGATCGCTATGTCTCGCTTTTTCGACTTAAGTCGAAGGCTCGACAAATAAATGAGTGTTGAAAAATGTAATAACAATGATATTATTCTGAACTGTAGGTAAGGATCAGTGTGGGTATCCATACAATAAGTAATTATTTGTTTGGGTGTGTAACTAATATATGACAAGTGATAATGTTCTTTAACCTTGTTACTTATGAACCATCCTGCATGAAAGGTGTTATCAAGGTATGAATTCTCCAATAAACTATTGCATCTTTCTAAATCTCACAAAATACTAGATTGTCTTTTCCAGACATTAAAGGTGGGTTAAAGTTTTGGAACACATTAGTGTGCCTAATTCAAATAAAAAAAATTGTGAGTGGCTGTTTTAGGAATTTAGTGGGCAGATATAGTTTTTGGTAGTTTCTGTTACATGTATTGTATAGACTTGTAATGATTCAGAGCTTGTTATACCATACATTACCTATAGATGTCTTGATATACCGTACATTACCTATAGATGTCTTGTTTGTTTTTCTGTTGTTAAGGTTGCCTTCTCACTGATGTATACCTCCTAAATCTTCTTTTATAAATATGCAATACCAGTTCTATTATTTATATGTTTTCCATTCAATTAATTAAATAACTAAAATAAATCATATGTGCCCCAATTTACTAAAAATCCTGTTTTTATTTTGAGAAAGATAGGCTAAAATATTGACTTAATATGTTAGTTCTTTACAGCCCAACGAGGGTAGGTGAAAGAACTATATAACAAGTTACATTTTACTAAATTTCATTTCTTACTGATGGTTAGTAAACATCTACTACCTTCTTAACTGTAAATCCTACACCACTGTTGTGAACTGCATATCTATAAATGTTAAAAAAATTAACATTACACATTTTGCAAGTCAAGACCCTATCACTTATTAATAATTTTAATCTGAATTTTACTTTTAAATGATTAGCTCATATTCATAGCAATCGGGTTAGTGTTTACGCATAAAAAATTGTACATACATGCATAGAATAACTATACATTGTCTTGAAATATAAAATTGATATGTACAAGGCTTAAAAATAGTTAGAATGTGAGGTTTTGCCTTCCTGTTTCAAACCGAGTACAAACATTTCCAGACAGTGTATAGTTATTCTCTTTATACTCCAACTCTAACAACTGTTCCAAGTGAAATATTTTGGGTAAAAGCATCAATTTTGAATTTTGAAGCAAAGGACGTGAAAATTCCACTAACCTATATTCTTTATTGACATCCTAAATAAAATTCTATACGGTCATGACTGTATACCACAATAAAATATACAATACAAATTGACTGCCCACAGTTGCAGTACAAATTCTAATATGACGTTCTTCTTTTGCATTGTAAACAAAGCCATGTTTTAATTCCAACATGAACATGGGTGCACCATCAATTGTGTTTTGATCAGTGCCAGAGATCAAAATGGACATTCTAGTTGGTGTTGCTCGTTTATTTAAAGAAACAACAAAACACCACTTAACTCATTCGACCCCAAGAGATTTCTGGAAAATCAGGCATTTTCGAAAATTTGCAAACATATGCAAATTATATGCAAATTAGTAGACTCTTGATGCTGTAACTGATGCTGATCTATTAAACTATGTATTGAGATTTGGGGACGGATGGCATGGGTGGGGGGTGGGGTGGGAAGTGGTCTATATTCTGGTGGGTTTGAACCCACCCCTACTGGAAAATGGTCTTTTTCAGTCTATTTTTCGATTTTAATACGACCTTGAGAGGTGAACATTGACCAGACTGTGTTTGTTTGTCATTCAAGTATTACCTTATAGTTACAGCAGTCAATCCATACTGACTGGAAGTAAATGTGACTTCAGTGTCTTGCTGGGGAATTATTTTTGTCAAGTCAGGTCTGCCTAAATGTCCGTTTTTACGGATTTCTGACAAAACAGTGACCTAGATTTTACAGACCAGATTTCTATTGGCCATATTATACCTCCTTGTGTTCCTGTACCACATATGCATGTATTTATGATAGTAAAAAGATGCCCACCCCCACCTGATTTTGGCTACTTTTCACGTTTTTTTGATTTTGAACTCTTAAACGGCCTTAAACTTGCCATATTTTCATTAACAGACATCTGAGAAGAGTTTATGGACCATGAACTGCATGGTTAAAGTCCCTGCTGTCAAGACAGTTCAGCTGGGACAGTTCCAAAAAAGTATGGAGGGTCATACGGGCCATCAAAGAATGTTGGTCGCCATCACGACTACAGGCGGGATTGGGGGCGAAGGGGTTAATAGATAATTTTTAACAATTCTGGCAGCTATACTGGCAGTAAACAATCCATATTTTCTAAATGAATTTGTCCATCCGAACTCATTCTTACTTAATCATACAAGTAGTGACCGATGTCCTTTTTAAGATCTTGATATTAGAATTTCACATGGTAATATCTATACCATATTTAATGATAATTAGGATGGCTTTTCTTTGTCTATCTTTAATTTTCCTTTCCTTGATTATCACTGTGGCTCCTTCTTACGCAGCGAATATTTTTTCAGTTGATTAAAATGAGCAGGTTTTTGCAGTGAAGTAGTAGATTTCAATAAAATGTAATAATTTCATTCCCTAAAACTTTTACAGCAGGTATAACTATAAACACATCATAGATTGGTCAAAACATTTTACTAAATTTTATCACAAATACACTGTGGAAGCATGATTCCACATGAAAGATAGTATTGTTTATTAAGCTAACAAATTTAGGCATTGTTCTTTTTTGTGATAAAAATCAATTTGCTATTTCATAGTTTGAAGCAATACTAAAACATTCTTTTTTTTCTGTTTATATAACTAGAGGCTTTAACAAGCCTGTGTCGCTCACCTTGGTCTAAGTGCATATTCAACAAAGGACACTCTCCAACATTGTAGACGAGAATAGAATTCCTGACAAAAATCTCTGTTTTGTTGATTTTGTATTGCTGATCATTTAGTCTGTTTAGTTTCTCTCTATCTTCTTTAATTTTTGCTCAAAACACAAAAGAGGGTAAAAAAAAATCCTCATTTAAGGGCAATCACTCCTATAAAGGGTGACAGTCTACTATACCATACCATACTAAATATTACTTTCACGGTACTACAATCTGTCGATACCTATATTTGGGCATTGCACAAGGTCATGATTTTCTCTGACTGTTAATGAAGTCTTTACACTAAATCCATTGGGTGTTGAACATGTACGGATAGATATTTTAGTTTTAGATACATGATTTTTTTTTATTAGTTGTTATTGGTTTTGAACTAGCTGTCAGTAACTGGGAGTACTCTCAGATCTGTACTTTAGGTGTAATACCACCAAATCATAGTACGTCACATCCGGTTGCATACGAAAAAGGTTCGAAAAAAAATATTCCCTTGAATTTGACAGTTGTAGGAAATTTATTCTACATTTCATTGCAGTAAAAAAAAATTTGAGTCATAAACATATATCTTGGGTGTTTCAAAGCACCATTATTTTTTTATTTGGTGTTTCTATAGAATATTTTGGAAACTTGAGGTTACATGGTTACTAAAGCTTGAACACAGGAAAAAAAGTGGTGAAAGTTTGATTGGTCAACTTCCAGTGATGGTTATTTTCTTATATGCAATAAAATGTTATGTGAAATTTTGTATATAACAAAACTGGTCAGGATAAAACTTTACTCATGCCAAGTATTTCTTTATTTGGAACAAAGATAAATTCTGCACAATTTTTTGAAAGGTGCAAATTTAACAACGACTAATAGGGGAAAATCAAAGGTGGTTTTACACCTTAAGTGTCTTTTTTGTTGTTAGGGATGAGGGATGGATATATACCCTGCCACGTCCTGTCTGGGTTTTTGTTTGATGTTTTTCTTTGTATCGATCTGATGAGTTAAGCCTTTTTCAACTGATTTATAGTTTGTTCTTATGTTGTGCTGTTACACTACTGTCCTAGGTTAGGGGAGGGTTGAGCGCTCACAAACATGTTTAACCCTGCCACATTCTTTATGTCCCTGTTCCAAGTCAGGAGCCTGTAGTTCAGTGGTTGTCGTTGGTTGATGTCTGTCATATTTGTTTTTCATAAATTGTTTTGTTATAAATTAGGCTGTTTTTCTCAATTGATTTTTTTCATATTTTTCATGTGTGGGCCTTTTATAGCGGACTGTACGGTATGGATTTTTCTCATTGTTGAAGACCGTATGATTGCCTATAATTGCTTACATCCACTTTATTTGAACTTGGGTGTATAGTTGTCTCATTCGCAATCATACCACATCTCCTTATATTTTTACTAACTTTATTGGCAAAATTTGACTTGTTAGTAAATCTTGTCTTGCTGATCATTTTTGTGATTTAAAGTGTCTATTTATCTATTATAATTTTTATCATATAAGGCAAAATGCAAAAAAAGTGGTAAAAATCGTCATTAAGGGGAATACTTCCAATAATGAGTCGTCGGACGATTTCCTCCATATTGTCTTAATTATAGGTCTTGTCTTGCTGATCATTCTTGCTTATCTAAGTTTCTATCTATCTTTTATAATTCTTTAGATATAAGGCAAAAACGCAAAATATTGGTAAATAAAACTGTCATCACAGAGATATGTCTCACCTTTTTGAAATTTGATTATGCAAATATTGAAATTAATATAGCAATACTTTAATATGTAAATATTCAAAGTCAATGAACCATGACTGAGGTACATGGCTAAACAATCTCCATGGAAATGAGATGTGCCAATGCTAATACAACTACATACCAAATACCATTGACTTATTATAAGTTTTTCCCTTTAAACAAACCTAAACACAAACATTGACTTGTACACTATGTAAAAGTTTCAAAGTCAATGAACCATGAGGAGGGGGTGGGGCTATATAATCTCCATGGAAACGATACTTGCAAATGCCAATAAATTTGCATACCAAATATCATTGACTTAACATTAGCAGTTCATCTTAAACTGATCTAATCAAACTAATACATGTAAACTAAACAAAAGTTTCAAAGTCAATAGACCATGACTGAGGGGGCGGGGCCAAACATTCTCCATGGAAATGAGATGTGCCAGTACTAATACAACTGCATACCAAATATGATTGACCTTCCACTTGTGGTTCACCATAAACTAGACCTAATCACTAACTAATACATGTAAACTAAGCAAAAGTTTCAAAGTCAATAGACCATGACTAAGGGGGCGGAGCCCAATAATCTCCATGGAAATGAGATATGCCATTGCTTATACAAATGCATACCAAATATGATTGACCTTCCACTTGTGGTTCACTATAAACTAGACCTAATCACAAACTAATTCATTGTTGATGCCGCCTCCCATTGGGCCAGGTGAGCTAAAAATCAGAAGATACAGTATGATTGAAAATGAGACAGCTCTCCACCAATGAATAAATGACATAGAATTTAGCAACTATAGGTCATCGTACATCCTTCAACAATGAGCAAAACCCATACCTCATAGTTTAGTTTTGTATTTCTTCCTGTACTGTTCATGACTTTCCTATATGAAATTATCTATAAAGTGCAGCAACCAATATTAAGTGTAAGTACAGCATGATTTCTAATCAGCAGGTTATATAATCTGAGCTTGCTCTCAGTAACTCTAAGATAGTATAATTTCTCTATCTATTTTGTGTCGTTGTTTTTTATTATACCATTATTTAAGATTTAAGAGCTTTTCCTGTACTGGTTTCTATTGAATGTTCTTATATGAAGATTTTTTTAATCTACTGATCGAGATTAAAAAGGCAGAGGTTGAGATCAAAATAAACCAGATTAACATTAAGATTTACATTTTTATAAGCCTATCCAAAGTCAGGAATCTTGTCAGTAGTTATCCTATGTCATATCTCTCAATGTTTTGTTTTATTTGGAAAATTGAGTGATAATGGCAAACTTGGTTCTGTTAAATTTATTCACAACTTTTGTATAAAACATTGTCTATTGCTGAAGACTATATGTTGCCCTCTACATATTTTTTTGTTATTTTTTGGTTGGGTTGTTGTCTCATTGATGTGTACTCCACATTTTAAGTTATTCATACTGCTTGCAATATTGGAAATATATCTTTACCTTTTATATATCATCTAAGATAGAAGAACAATTTACCTGCTGACAACCTCTACAACCTTAGCATGCTCATCTGAAGGACTTTTTAATGCTTTTCTCCTAGTTGTAATATTGTAAAATAAATCTTCCACCTACATATACAAAATATACAATATAACAGCTAAGGAACCATAAAGTAAAACATTTTCTTCAGAACAAGATCTTGACTCATAAACATACCAGTATGTCACTAATGAGTTTTTCAACTATAACACTTTACTTTAATAACATTTGTATAATAAAGAGAGAATCAGAAAACAAAATACTAATTATATAACAAGAGTGCACACGCTGAAATGTCTCGCCTTTTTAACTAACCAATGATATTATGTTGATAGTCCTAAATGAAAGCTTTATTACAACTATTACATAAACTTAACATGATCCAAGAAAATGAAGTCAAGGTCATATAAACCAAACAAGAAATACATGTACACCTTACAATCATTCAATACACTAAATATAGTTGACCTATTACTTATAGTTTCTAAGAAACAGACTTAACCAAGAAAACTAAACATTGACCAATGAATCGTGAAAATGAGGTCAAGGTCAGATGAACCATGCCAGGCAGACATGAACAGATTACAATCCTCCCATACAACAAATATAGCTGACCTATTGCTTATAGTTTAAGAAAAACAGACTGAAACACATAAACTTAACACTGAGTGAGCAATGAACCGTGAAAATGAGGTCAAGGTCAAATAAAACCTGCAAGACTGACATGTACATCATAGAATATTTCCATACACCAAATATAGTTGACTTATTGCATATAGTATAAGAAAAAAGACCAAAACTCAAAAACTTAACTTTGACCACTGAACCATGAAAATGAGGTCAAGGACAATAGACATGTGACAGACGGAAACTTCGTAACATAAGGCATCTATATACAAAGTATGAAGCATCCAGGTCTTCCAACTTCTAAAATATAAAGCTTTTAAGAAGTTAGCTAACGCCGCCAGATCACTATCCCTATGTCGAGCTTTCTGCAACAAAAGTCGCAGGCCTGACAAAAAATACAAGACAGGTATATATTGAAAAACCAAAAGCAAGAAACACCACTTTTATTGCATCATTCCCATCCTTCATCATACAGAAAAAAATGGTCATATAGAAATGCCTGTGTCCCTGTCTTATTAGAATATCTAAAATATATTGAGTTAGTCTACAAATAAGGAATCAGATCAATAAAATTTACAGTGCATTACCACATATTGCTATATCGTGGTAAGTAAATTAGATAATCTCCCCTTCAACATATACTATCCTGCTCCTTAAAACACAATCTTCTGTAGTGTTCTACAACTGTGTAAGGTTTTATCAATAGACGTCTAATCTTTTAGGAGCAGCTGCTCTTACAAAAGACTATTATCACATGTTGCAATATCAAAGTAAGTAAATTTGATTATTTCCCCTTTAACATGTTGGATCAGGATTATATTTCTTTTCGACAGGCAGAGCCTTATGGACATGGAATTTCCTACATACCCCCTTCCCCCTAAAAAAAACTTTGTTTGCAAGGGGGTATAATAATGGGGCAATGCAATTTTATAAAAGACCATACTATAATAGGCTTTTTATTTTAATATCATACCAAAAGAAAAAAAACTATCATGAAAACCTATCAACTCTACAGTCACTGTCATGTAAAATTGGCACTGTTTTATTTTTTTTTATCAAATATTTTTAAACAATCAATTGCATGCATTCAAGATGACGTTTTTTCACTTAGTGGAACCTAAAATAGTCCAAAAAACCACTAAAGCCCTACCTTTTATTGTGATTGCACTGTATACTCCAGGCCTTCACATTATCCTAGATCATTTTCAATGGTGGAATCCGACATTGTTTTCACAGAAAGTATTGCTGTGGAGTTTCACATTCGGTTTTTTTAAATATTTTCAGAACTCAATAGCAAAGTCAGTCCAGATATTCTATAGCAGACAATACGCTACTATTAAGCATGGGAAACTGTATCACATCAATGACACGAATATTACCGGAGAGTAAAGAATTTTATGTAAACAAAGGATCCTCATAGAAACCAAGATGAGGTATTTAGAATGGAAAATAGTTCATACCCTACAATCACAATAAAAGGTAGGTCAGTTGCGGTTTTTGGGGAATATTGATCTAAACCCAGTGCCAATTTTACATGATGGTGACTATAGAACATCATAAAAATGAAGCCAAGACAAGTAACCTTTCACCAAATACTGAAGTGTATTTCAAAGATGTACCTGTATTTTTTAACAGAAAACTTACTGTAATTTGTGTTCCAATATTTCCAGCACAAGGCTTCACTGGTTCCTTTAACTTTCCATCTGAATACATGCCCCTACATCAAAATATCTCTCAGTTAATATTAATGATTATACCTGTCTACTTTGCTGGACAAATACCCCCACATTATGAATTGAGTTTGAATATGCTAGTGACTGAAATACAGCAAATCAGTGAAGTTGATAATATAAATTTTGACTTTTTCTAATGTTTTATAAGATGTTGTCTCAGATGGGTCAAGATGCGTAATTCATTTCCCGTAAGCGACAATGGTAGCCTTTTCTTCCATTCCTCTGTCCATATTGTAAACTTGGATAATTATGATGGCTTGTTTCGAAGCTGAGACATTTTCACACATGTGGTTAAATTTTCAGGGTACGAAGTGAGATTAAATTTTTCACAAATTGGGCAATCCCAAAAGGCCCCATGTGATGCCGCTTGAGCAAGTGAAAAGTCCTATTTTCACACAGTTAAGTTCTCTGGAAATTCAGTTCTGTACAAACATTTAATAACTCCAAAGTTTTTACATCTTTATTGTACAGTCTTCTGCTCTTCAAAAAAGCACAAATGGTTAAGCTCTGTCAATTACTAACAAGAGGCTCTCAAGAGCCTGAATCGCTCACCTGTAATATTTTGCTTAAATCTTTCATCAATGATTATTTTTGCTTTTTAATATATATTAATGAGTGGCTTAAAAATTCCATTGAGATGTTCTTTGTATCTGTCATGTTTTCTTCAAAAGCAAAGAAATACATTTTACCCCTATGTTCCATTTTAGCCATAGTGGCTATGTTTCTTGACGTACAAGAAAATAATATATAAAATTTATACTAGATACTCTGAAACTCATTCAGCCCAAGTTTGGCTGAAATTGATTCAGCAGTTTCAAAGGAGAAGATTTTTTAAAGTAAGCAAACTAGATGAACAAATTGTGAAAAATTGTCTTTAAAGGGCAATAACTCCTTAAGGACACATTTGACAATTTTGGTCATATTAACTTATTTGTAGATCTTACTTTGCTAAACATTATTGCTGTCACAGTTTATCTTTATCATTAATAATATTCAAGATAATAACCAAAAACTGCAAAATTCCTTAAAATTACCAATTTAGTGGCAGCAACCCAACAATGGACTGTTAGATTCCTCTGAAAATTTCATGGCTGATAGAACTTGGCCTAATGAACATTTTGACCTCTCATCAGATTTGCTCTAATTGCTTAAGTGTTTGAGATATATTAGCTAAAAACTGCATTTTACCCCTATGTTCTAATTTAAGCCATGACGGCCATGTTTTTTCACGAAACAGAAAATAAAACACAAACTTTATTCTAGATACCCTAAGGATCATTCAGCTTAAGTTTGGTTGGAATTGGTTCAATGGTTTTAGAGGAGAAGATTTTTTAAAGTTAGAAAACATGATAAACAAATTGTGTAAAATTGTCCTTAAAGGGCAATAACTCTTTAAGGGGTCAATTGGCAATTTTGGTCATATAAACTTATTTGTAGATCTTACTTTGCTGAACATATTTGCTGTTTACAGTTTATCTTTATCATTAATACTATTCAAGATAATAACCAAAAACTGCAAAATTTCCTTAAAATTACCAATTTAGTGGCAGCAACCCAACAATGGGTTATTAGATTCATCTGAAAATTTCAGGGCTGATAGAACTTTACCTTATGAACACTTTTACCCCATGTCAGATTTGCTCTAACTGCTTTGGTTTTTGAGATATAAACCAAAGACTGCATTTTACCCCGATGTTCTATTTTTAGCCATGGCGGCCATGTTTTTGACGAAACAGAAAATAAAACACAAACTTTATTCTAGATACCCTAAGGATCATTCAGCTTAAGTTTGGTTGGAATTGATTCAGTAGTTTCAGAGGAAAAGATGTTTGAAATAGTTTACACCAGTCGGACGACGACGACGGACGCCAAGTGATGGCTAAAGCTCACCGTTCCTTTGGAACGATGAGCTAAAAATAGCATCATGTCCAATTTCATTGCATACAGTTTTTTTTTATTTCTATTTATAGTTGAGTACCTCAATCTGAGGCGCATTAGGGATATTGACCCAGATGTGTTTACCCCTTCAAGTATCACTTCGATGACAAGGTCTGTTCTGCCAGAATTTCACATTGATTCAACTTGAACTTGTCATTTGATAATTTCTCTAATTTTATGACAGCAAAATAATTAGAATTAGTCCAAATTTATACAAAAATGTTGAAAGCCAAAATAACTCCAAACTTTCCTTAAGAAACATGTAGTATTAACATACTTATAAGCACACTTTGAATCAGCTGTTCTAGTTGTTATTGTCACATGGGCAACATGACTAATACTAGCAAGTGCTTCACCTCGGAAACCATAAGTTGCTATGGAATTCAGATCTTCAAATTTCTGTAATTTACTTGTAGTAAATCTCTCACATACAATTTCCATATCTTCCTTCTACAAAAATAAATTGCAGTCTTTTACACTTACCAATAAGATGAAATTATCAACAATTTTTTCTTGAAAAGAGGTAACAAACATAATGTATTTACTGGCTACAATTTTTTTTGGTACCTAGGAATGAGTATGAGACACTAAAACTTGCTGCTCCTTTGTAGCATAAATTTCTTCAAGTTATATTTTCTCTTGTATTTGCAATTCAATCTTTACCAATAGGGTCCCATCATTAGACAAGTTAGGAGCCTTTTTTTTTATCGGCCTCTCTTGATGTTTGCTAGTATCAGTTCACAGAATATAGTCCCCCAACAAGTGTAAGCTATTTTTCTAAGTCATTCAGCATAATTTAATGACTGAAGGAACGAAAATTAAGAACAAGGAATGTTGGGATGCAAAACTAGAGGCTCTAAAGAGCCTGTTTTGTTCTCTTGTATCTTTGTGCATCTCCAACAATCGCCACTTTTCAATATTGTGAACTAAAATATAATTCATGACTAAAATCTCTTCTTTCTTGATTTTGTATTGCTGATTATCTTTCTTGACAGTTTCTCTCTTTCTACTATAGTTTTTGCCAAAAACATAAAATTGGGTAAAAAAATCATCATTCAAGAGCAAAATCTCCTATTTAACATGGACTGTGACATTTTCAGCTTTGTTAATTATTTCTTGCTGATAATTCTTACTGTTTACAGTTTCTCTCCATCTTCTACATTTTCTGTCAAACCATCTTCTACATTTTCAGGCAAACCCCGACAAATTTCAGGTCCTAGCAGTTGGGAAAAAGACATATAAAAAAAATCCATCTATACGTATCCAAAGTACTGATCTTTCGTGTGAGTCAACTGTCAAATTACTTGGCATTGACATAGATTATCAGCTAAATTTTGATATTCATATTGGTAAAATATGCAGGAAGGCATCTCAGCAACTAAATATTTTGAAACGTTTGGGAGCTTATCTGAACAAGCTAAGTAAGCTTACTATTTTCCATACATTTATTTTGTCAAACTTCAATTTCTGCCCTTTGGCATGGCATTTTTGTACCGAGAAAAATTCAAAAAAATTAGAAAAAGTGCAAGAAAGAGCACTAAGGTTTGTGTACGAAGACCATTCAAGCTCATATCAACAGTTGCTTGAAAAGGCTAAGATGCCTTCACTGCATATTAAAAGACAAAGATCTATGGCAATTGAAACTTTTAATATAGTCAATAAATTAGCACCTGTCTGTTTACATGATTTATTAAATATAAAAGATTGTAAATATTCTTTCAGATATAGTAATATACTGGATATACCACATGTAAAAACTACACAGTTTGGTAAGAAAAGTTTTAAATTTGCAGCTGCTACTCTGTGGAACAGCCTACCTGACCATTTCAGGACTGAAAACAGTTTTTCTCAATTTAAGAGCCTTATACAGTCTTGGAATGGTTCAAAATGTTGTTGTTCTGCTTGTAGATAAGCTTTATCATATTTTAGAAGTTGCTCTAACATGTTATTATGCCTTAAATTTTTGCATGTGTGCTATATTTTATTTGTGCTTAATTTTAGTTGTGCTTAATTTTTAGTTGTGCTTCAGCTTTGGCTTTAGATATGTATTTTAAAAGTGCTTTGCATGTATTTCGATATGACTGTGCTGTTATATATCCTGTCTGCATGTTGTGTGTTTTAATGTTGTGTTTGTGTTACCTTATATTCGGTAAAAAGCTCTTAAGAGCTTATGTTTGTATTGTTATATGTGAACCGAATCAAAATAAAACTTTCGTATTCGTATTCGTATTCGTATTCGTATTCGTATTCTGTCCAAAATGCAAAAAAGGGTAATAATTTTCACATAAGGGCTATTACTCTATAATGAGTTGACAGGTAATTAGCAATGTTAACCTTTTTGTAGATATTGTCTTGCTGATCATTTTTGCTGTTTACATTATTCTTAACCAAAGTATTTGCCAAATAGGTAAATATAGTCATTTAAGGGCAATAACTCCTTCAAGAAGTTGACTGACAATTTCTGCCATGTTGTTATATTTGTAGATCTTGTCCTGCTGATTATTTTTGCTTTTTAAAGATTTAATATATCTATCTATTTTAAAATAAAAGGGCAAAAAGGCAAAAAAATGGAAAAAAAATTATCATTTAAGGACATTAACTCTAATAAGGAGTTGACTGAAGATTTAGGCCAGGTTGATTTATTTTTAATCTTGTCTTGCTGATGATTTTTGCTTTTTATATTTTTTGATCTTGTCTTGCTAATCATTTTTGGTTTTTATATTTGAAGATCTTGTCTTGCTGATCAGTTTTGCTATTTAAAGTTTCTATCAAGGATAGATAGTTTTTAAGATAATTGCAAAAGTAAAAGAAAATTGGTCAAATTGGTTTTTAAAGGGCAATAACTCATATAAGAAGTCATCTAGATAGTTTGGATGTACATTGTAAAATATGTAGATATCAACTTTCTGAACATTTTTGCCCTGTCAGATTTTGTCTATCTATAGTAGTTTTCAAGTTAAAAGAAAAAAACATACATTGTATCCCTATCTTCTATTTTTAGCCATGTCTGCCATGTTTGTTTGCAGACGGGATCATCAAATATTATGTTTTGCACCTGATACTGTAAATTCAGAAATTATTGCGTGCGTTTATTATTGTGAATTTTGTAGAATGGACTTAAATGCGAGATTATTTATTGCGATTTCAGGAAAATCTGCATACAGTTATGTGTATCAGATATAAGAATGCGAGTTCTTAATATTGCGATACTCATTCAGTCACATTATTCGTATTAATAAAAACCTCGCAATAATTTCTGAATTTACAGTACTCCAATGATAACTATGACAAAGTTCAGTTCCAATTGCCCTAGTAATTTCAAATGAGAAGATTTTTGTAAAAGTTAACAGACGATGACAATAAACAAAGAGTGAAGACAATAGCACACATGACTTTTGGTCAGGTGGGCAAAAAGCGGCTTTACTTGCACTCATATAGATAAGTCCACTAAGTGAGAAGTCAAAAGTGCTCCAAACATGCAAATTTACATCTTCTTTAAGTCTTTTCAGAAGATAAGGGTATCCACCTTTTTTGCAATTTTTATACTCTTTGTGTAATCGTACTGACCATAATACCTGATCCATTATCCTGTATCTGCTTTAGAGTTTTAATCCTCCTTGTTTAACTGAAAGTCACCCTATCACCTAAACCATTATCCTGTCTCTGTAGCAGTTAATATCCTTCTTGTGTAATTGTACTTACAATAACACCTGATCTATCATCCTGTATCTGTAGCAGTTGTAATCCGCAGTGCGTAATTGTACTTACCCTAACACCTAATCCATTATCCTATATCTGTAGCAGTTGTCATCCCCAGTGTGTAATTATACTTACCCTAACACCTGATCAATAATCCTGTATCTGTAGCAGTTGTCATCCTCCTTCTGTAATTGTACTTACCCTAACACCTGATTCATTATCCTGTATCTGTAGCAGTTGTCATCCTCAGTGTGTAATTATACTTACCCTTACACCTGATCCATAATCCTGTATCTGTAGCAGTTGCCATTCTGAGTGTGTAACTGTACTTACCCTAACACCTGATCCATAATCCTGTATCTGTAGCAGTTGTCATCCTCAGTGTGTAATTATACTTACCCTAACACCTGATCCATAATCCTGTATCTGTAGCAGTTGTCATCCTCCTTCTGTAATTGTACTTACCCTAACACCTGATTCATTATCCTGTATCTGTAGCAGTTGTCATCCTCAGTGTGTAATTGTACTCACCCTAACACCTGATCCATAATCCTGTATCTGTAGCAGTTGTCATCCTCAGTGTGTAATTATACTTACCCTTAAACCTGATCCATAATCCTGTATCTGTAGCAGTTGTCAGTCTGAGTGTGTAACTGTACTTACCCTAACACCTGATCAATAATCCTGTATCTGTAGCAGTTGTCATCCTCCTTTTGTAATTGTACTTACCCTAACACCTGATTAATAATCCTGTATCTGTAGCAGTTGTCATCCTCCTTCTGTAATTGTACTTACCCTAACACCTGATCAATAATCCTGTATCTGTAGCAGTTGTCATCCTCAGTGTGTAATTATACTTACCCTTACACCTGATCCATAATCCTGTATCTGTAATAGTTGTCATCCTCAGTGTGTAATTGTACTACCCTAACACCAGATCCCTTACCCTGTATCTGTATCAGTTTTAATCCTCAGTTTGTAATTGTACTTACCCTAACACCTGATCCATAATCCTGTATCTGTAGGAGTTGGCATCCTCAGTGTGTAATTGTACTTACCCTAACACCTGATCCATTATCCTGTATCTGTAGCAGTTGACATCCACAGTGTATAATTGTACTTACCCTAACACCTGATCCATAATCCTGTATCTGTAGCAGTTGTCATCCTCAGTGTGTAATTGTACTTACCCTAACACCTGATCCATAATCCTGTATCTGTAGCAGTTGTCATCCTCAGTGTGTAATTGTACTTACCCTAACACCTGATCCATTATCCTGTATCTGTAGTAGTTTTAATCCTCCTTGCTTTACTGTTACTTGAATGGATGTAGACTTTGCATCTAAACTGAAAAAAGAGATCCTGATGTTTCAAACTGGTGTGAATACTTTTACATTTAGAATGTAAAAGAAAAAAAATTCTGAAATGATTCCAAAGTTCTATTAAAACATTTCTAAAACATCAGATAAATTGGGTATTAACACAACTTTAAGTTCAAGTTGTCCTCTACACTATCTCCTTATTTAAATAATCTCTAATAAAACATTATAACAAGATGTACTGCCAGCTATTGCTCATTATTCATTATTGCTCATTTAAAGTACACTGGTTTCATGATATTTGCTGATATTTATTGGGTTGGATCTGAAAATTGGGACCTATCTTTCCTTCCCTCATAATGAATCAGAAGCCATTAAGGACCAGTTAAGATACATGGTTTGTATATTGTTATATGTACCATAGTTATCATATATAAAGATATGTCAATAGTTAATGAATATATTTAAAACAATTTAAATAACTGCAAACTATATTTTGAATAAATTTTGCCATGCCCTCACAGATGATCAAAGTAGATTTACAATTTTGAATTGGGAAAATATGTTTTAAAGGGAAAAACAGCCTACTTTCATTGGAAATAATGCTGAATTGGCAGTAAATTATGAGTAGAAAAAGCCTTCCAGGAACATTCAAATTTTCACCCTGAAACAAATATAGGAAAATTTAAACAATGTTTTCATTTTTCACCTTACCTATTTTCTATCATTTCTTTTAAGGCATTTGCAGGTCTCTGAATTACTTCCCCTGCAGCTATTCTATTAACAACTACTTCATCTAATTTTCTAATTACTCCAGGGGCAGGTTTACTAACTGCCATTTTATGATTTCTTCTAGTCTGTGAAATGTAAATACTGAATGTCATGTGATACGTCAGTGGAATAAATATTTTTTTAAATAAAAATTTAATCATATTTCATATATATAGATATATGGAGACTCTTATAAGAACAAGATTGCTACACCGTAGCGAAATGTCCCATAGGCTGTATATTAAAATGAGGAATTGAATTGTCAGTTACAATGTGTCATTGTGGTACGATAGTCAAAATATGGTAATAGACTCATAATAGTCAAATAAAAATGATGGTGCAATGTGGTCAACTACACATGGCCAACAATCCTATCAAGTATGAGAGCTTTCTGTCAAATAATTTCAGAGAATTTGCTGACACTATTACAATACTAAAAAAAATAGTCAAAGTCTCATTAACCCCATTAAAAATTCGTAAGGGTTCCGCGGAACCCAGTGTCTCGCCTACTTTTGGTGTTAATCGCAGGCTCAACAAAAATGAGGAAAAAAATTAATAAAAATATTCCTCTATACTATCTTTTGATTGTAAGAAGCTTCTGTCCAAGTTTGGTAAAAATCCAGGATAATTTATGAATCTAATAAATGTTTTAAAAACTTAAACTGCAGAATGTATGTACTGTTGACTGGAAGAAAAACTAAGTCCATTTATAAGTAAAATACAGAAAAAATGGAAAAAAATTTTATCAAAATTTCCTTCTAGATACTAGCTTTTGATCATGAACAAGCTTCTGTCCAAGTGTGGTACAAATCCAGGATAGTTTAAGAAAGTTGTTAAAATTTTAAAAACTTTAACCACAGAGTGAATGTAATGTTAACTGGCAGAAAAACTAAGTCCATTTATAAGTAAAATACGGAAAAAATGGAATTTTTTTTTTACAAAATTTACTTTGGATACTATCTTATGATCATAAACAAGCTTCTTTCCAAGTTTGGTAGAAATCCAGGATAGTTTAAGAAAGTTATTAAAATTTCAAAAACTTTAACCACAGAGTGAATGTAATGTTTCCTGGCAGAAAAACTAAGTCCACTTATAAGTAAAATACGGAAAAAATGGATTTTTTTTTTTACAAAATTTACTTTTGAATATAATCTTATGATCATAAACAAGCTTCTGTCCAAGTTTGGTAGAAATCCAGGATAGTTTAAGAAAGTTATTAAAATTTCAAAAACTTTAACCACAGAGTGAATGTAATGTTTCCTGGCAGAAAAACTAAGTCCACTTATAAGTAAAATACGGAAAAAATGGAATTTTTTTTTACAAAATTTACTTTTGAATATAATCTTATGATCATAAACAAGCTTCTGTCCAAGTTTGGTAGAAATCCAGGATAGTTTAAGACAGTTATTAAAATTTCAAAAACTTTAACCACAGAGTGAATATTTGTGGACGACGCCGACGGAATGTAGGATCGCTATGTCTCGCTTTTTCGACAAAAGTCGAAGGCTCGACAAAAATGGTTAGATTGAAATGACAGTATTATATGATTAAGTAAACATGATAGCAAACAATACTACCCAATGGGCAGTCATTCTCAAGGTCGCCGGACATTGGGCAAAGACCAGTAAAAATTGGTTTGGTCCAGTTAAGTGATATGCATTACTGGACCAAATGACCAGTAACATTTTTAATTTTGTCCAAATCATAGGTGTAAATGTTCTGTAAAAAAGAGTCTGGTTCAGTTAAGAAGAATGTTTTACTGGACCAAATGTCCAATTGATTTCTCAAAGCCTTGGGAACCACTGAGTCCAAATATGAGAGCTTTCTGTCAAATGGTTTTAGAGGAGTTTCGTTCACAAGGTGTCATTATCACAATACTCCAAAAAAGAGTCAAAGTCCAATAACTCCCATAAAAACGGTCAAATCAAAATGGTGGTACATTATGGCAAACAATCCTACCAAGTATAAGAGCTCTTTGTAAAACTGTCTCAGAGGAGCTGCTTTCACAAAGTGTTATTTTTTTGTCACAATAATCCTAAAAATAGTCAAAGTTCAATAACTCCTTTAAAAATGTTGAATCCAAATCATGGTACTGTACAGTTAACTAAATATGATTGAAAACAATCCTAAGTATAAGAGCTTTCTGTTATACAGTCTCAGAGGAGTTGCATTCACAAGGTGTCATTGTTAACATACTAAAAAGCAATGGTCAAAGTCCCATTACTCCTGTAAAAATGTCAAAATCAAACTTATGAACAAGCATGATTAAGAGAATATGATGACAAATAATCCTATTAAGTATGAAAGCTTTATATGTAAAATGGTTTCCGAGTAGTTATGTGTTTGATATGGATGGACAAACCGTGATGATTATCATATCCCCTGTGGTAAAATATGAGTACGATCTTTGAATATTGTCCTTATCATTACATGTGGTAACATAGACATTATTTTTAATAGTTTAATACACATACCTGTCAACCTATGACAATGAAAATGCAGGTGATGACCTGCATAGAAGAATGAAATCTCAGGTCATAACACGTACAAACTTTTTCGTGCTGAATTTCAGTATTTAGGGGACATTTTTCTTATAATTTCTATCCAAGTTTCTAAAACATGTCCACATGGTTAAGTAATTTAAAATTGTACATATTATTATTTCATTGCACTTAAAGGCCAATGATAGAATTGAGTTACATTGCCTTAATTCCTGTTCATATTCATTCTATGACATACAATGTGCCCATTTGTGTATTTTTGCATACATTTGTGTAACTTTTAAACAGTAGAACATATCACATGTTGATATTAGAGTATAATAAAATAAAGTTAAACAATTAAAGGAGGTATAGATGAAAAAAGTAATTTTCAATTTTTTTATTTTTTAATTGTTCTAAGGTAGAACAATAAGTAAAAGTATTATTCTGATATGTTTTGCATTCAATTCATTTAAGATTTACTCTTTTTACAAAAAAAAACATAAGTTTAAGGAGTATATTGTGAATTGACAAAAAAGGGGAAGTAACTCAAATTGTTTTTAAAACAACTTTGAAATACACAAATTATGTGTAATTCCCAGGTTATTTGATCACCCGGCAGATGTTCCGGGAGACCCCTCAGAATTGTGAAAATCTCGGGTAACACCCGCAGGATCGGGGTCAGTTGACAGGTATGAATACATAACTAAACATGTATTATTTTCCAGGTTTAACACTTATGGTCCTACTTCCTGTTGATACTTATATATATTAAGGTATTGCACATGGTAATGCATTTCTCAGACTGCTTATGAATTTTTTACACTAAATCTATTGTAGGTGTACTGATAAACATTTGAGTTTTGATTGATTGATTGTTTGTTGCTTAACATCCAGTGGCAAATATTTCATGCATGTTCAGGATGAGAACATATTAACAATACATACAATAGTCAGGTCCTGTAATATAGGCCATCCAGGATGAAGGAGACACAATTTGTTTATTAGTTGAAAGACCTGATAAACTGACTTTAGTTTATTCTTATGTTATGTTGTTACACCACTGTCCCATGTTAGGGGAGGGTTGGGCTCTCACAAATATCTTAAACCCCACCACATTCTTAATATGACTGTCTCAAACTAGGAATCTGTAATCTAAATAACAGTAAGAAAATCAATAAAATGAAAAACTCAATATATATATAACTAATGAATCCAGAACTGTTTTTTTCACAAGTTGCACATTACCCTGTCCTGTTGACAGAAGCTGCAACGTTGTGCCATATGATTTCATATAAATTTGTACATCTGATTACCCCAAAGATTTATGATGATAATATGAGGACAAATATTTCAAAATCATTCTGTTTGTCTACGTCACACACATAAAATGAGTTGCACTTATATTCAACATGTGATTTTATGGCAAATAAAAGTAGTTCTCTGAGGAAACTCACTTGATTGGCTGATCAGGCAGATTTTTGTAACACAAATAATAATATGCTGACTTGGTTACTTTGTTGTATTAAGGTATAAAATATTTTATTTTCAATAAAAAAAATATTCTAATAAAAAGAAATTGAAGATAGTTTACATTGTTTACATTGAAAATGACATCATATATCAAATTCCTAACAACAGGACCAACATCAAGTACCTTTCTGCATTTCGGTGAATTTTTCAACTGAAATTATGCTAGGAATTCATCTTTTTTGCAATTTTGTATAACAAGTTATTCCTTTTCAGCCCTCAGTCATGAATTTAATGATGATCAAATGCAAAATTCAATATCCTTTTTTGTAGTTTCCCTTTAGAAAAAATTAGTATTTAAATAGTTTTGTATACTTTTGATTTATTTATACTTATACCACACACACACATCAAAATTCGTCTGCTACAGCCTACAAGGAATCAGAAGGATACTCTGATTTCAAGTTTTCTTCTTTTTATGTGTAATGAGAAAATTCGTAAGGGTTCCGCGGAACCCAGTGTCTCGCCTACTTTTTCTGTTAATCACAGGCTCAACAAAAATGAGGAAGTAAATCAATAAAAATATTCCTCTTGATACTATCTTTTGATTGTAAGAAGCTTCTGTCCAAGTTTGGTAAAAATCCAGGATAGTTTATGAATCTAATAAATGTTTAAAAACTTTAACTGCAGACTGAATGTAATGTTAACTGGAAGAAAACAAAATTTACTTCTAGATACTAGCATTTGATCATAAACAAGCTTCTGTCCAAGTTTGGTACAAATCCAAAATAGTATAAGAAAGTTATTAAAATTTTAAAAACTTTAACCACAGAGTGAATGTGTTGTTTCCTGGCAGAAAATCTAAGTCCATTTAAAAGTAAAATACTGAAAAAATGGATTTATTTTTTTACAAAATTTCCATCTAGATACTAGCTTTTGATCATAAACAAGCTTCTGTCCAAGTTTGGTACAAATCCAAAATAGTATAAGAAAGTTATTAAAATTTTAAAAACTTTAACCACAGAGTGAATGTGTTGTTTCCTGGCAGAAAATCTAAGTCCATTTAAAAGTAAAATAAGGAAAAAATGGATTTTTTTTTTTACAAAATTTACTTTTGGATACTATCTTATGATCATAAACAAGCTTCTGTCAAAGTTTTGTACAAACCCAGGATAGTTTAAGAAAGTTATTAAAATTTTAAAAACTTTAACCACAGAGTGAATGTAATATTTTCCGGCAGAAAAACTAAGTCCATTTATAAGTAAAATACGGAAAAAATGGAATTTTATTTTTACAAAATTTACTTCTGGATACTATCTTATGATCATAAACAAGCTTCTGTCCAAGTTTGGTAGAAATCCAGGATAGTTTAAGAAAGTTATTAAAATTTCAAAAACTTTAACCACAGAGTGAATATTTGTGGACGCCGCCGACGACAACGACGACGACGACGACGACGACGCCGACGGAATGTAGGATCGCTATGTCTCGCTTTTTCGACTAAAGTCGAAGGCTCGACAAAAATGACAACCATGAAAAAGGTTTCAAGTAAATGAATCATACATGTGTTTGTTCAAAAAATGACTCCGGATAAACAGCCAATCTTTTTTAAGTTTGAATAAGTTGTAGTTTTCATAGAAAACGGAGAAATGAACTAGCAAATAACCCGCCATTCAAGGTAGACAACCCAATCTCGCACTTCCGCTTTGCGAAATAATCTCCTTAGAAACGGAAATAGTGCAACATACCTAATTAAACCAATTTTTTTATACAAATAAGCAAATTTCTAGTGAATATTTGTTTTTAAGAAATTAAATGAGTGTATTATTCATATGAAATTACTGAAAGATTGATATATATTTGCATTACTTTCGTACTATTTTCTGTGTATAATTAAAAACCTAACTACAGATCAACAATATGGCGGACACCAGCACAAACAACTAACTTTTGACAAAATGTGAAAATTATCTGCAGATGTGCGACTGACTGTTAATTTCAGAATGCCATCAGTGAGCTCAATGACGAGGGCCGTTTCGGGCCCTTTAAAAGGGTTCCAAAATGATGGTTCAGATGGTCTTTTGATAGACACTATGGAACTGGTGGAACCCAAACGCTCCAAGACAGTCCCAAATCATCTACTTGAGACAAGTATGAATTTTCTTCGTATTTGCTGCTATTTCACTAATCACACATCATTTAGCAGAAAAATCAAAAGACTAGTCAGCTCATAAGTAGGATAATGAGTCTTAGTAAGGTCTACCTCCGTTACCTTTGTATAGTGGTCTTTGTAAGGTCTTCCTGTGGACTGTAGGACTTCATTTGCCAAGGCAGCTAATTAAACCCAGATTACCCCGGTTGTATAGGCACAGTCTCATCATTTGCTAAGAAATCAACAACTGGCACATATAGGCATGAGCCTCAGCTGCAGGTAAAATAAGTATGATGGAAAGGGTATCGGTTCCATTCGCTCCCAATACACGTTAGCACCCTACATGTTCGCCCCCTGGGTCTGTTTGCACCCTTTTTTATTGAAATACCAGTTGGATTATTAGATCTGTGTAAATAATTATCGAAATATTTATATTTTAATGAATAGAAATTCAGGAATTTTTAAATGAAATGTCTTTGTTATTTGTGATTTGATGATTAATTATTAAATGTTAATTATGTATGGTTACTGCTAATTGGTATTTACAAAGCTAAATTTGGTATTATTGTTCTGTGTTATGAAAATCATAATGAATAATATAAATTATAAATGCTCCATATCGTATCTGATAGGCGTTGTTGTCGTGGCAATGTCATTGTGACGAGTTTGATAGCCGTTTGGTATCTTCCCCATTTCTTTTACAATTCTTAGATGAATGGAATTTGTCTTGATCATTATGCCAATGTTTTATTCATTATTCATTTCGTTAAAATAATGAATAAAACACTAAAGGAAACCTGTTTACGTTTTTAAAATGTCACTTTATTTTGAAACTACAAAAAAAAAAACTTATTTATAGTAAAACACTAACTAAAACACGATTAATAAAAAATGTTTAATACAAAACAAATAAAAAGGGTGCAAACAGACCCAGTGTGCAAACATGTGGGTTGCAGACGTGAATCATTTGTGAATGGGAACGAACCAACCCGCATTTTCTCATTATTGAAGGTCGTACAGTTGCCTATAATTGTTTACATCCACTTCATTTGAACTATGGAGGATAGTTGTCTCATTGGCAATCATACCACATCTCCTTAATTTTATAATGATGGAAAGCGCATTGTAAGGCAGCGATTTTGCTAGCGCTTGTCATTTTCGTCATTTACGAAAAGGTTTTCAAAATGACGAAAGTTTTTCAAATCAATTTAGTCACTTAAATTTGAAATGTGTAAAAATATTTTGTCATGAAAATACTATAATTCTACCTGTCTTCATGTTTTTGACAAGTTTATGATCCTCATCTAATTAACATTTACAACAGATGTAATAAGTTGTGATTACAGGTAATCCGCTTATCGCCATCGGATGGGTCACTAATCCGTTAATTAATAAACCTCATAAATTATTGACCATCATAATTATTTTTCCCAGTAAAATCGGTCAGTCAGTATTTCAATTTCAATATTTCTCAAACAACCACAATTTACAGTTCGTTTATCATATATTTTTTGTCATTTGAACAAAATGTTTCCCCCCTGGTCAGTTCGCATTTTAATTTCAATATTTCTCAAACGATCACAATTTGCAGTTCATTTGACGTAGTTTCGTCATATGAACGAATTTTCTTCATATTTTATATAACTTTTAATCAAAGACTTTCAACAATTTTGATTAAAGAGAAAGAACTTTATTCAAAACGTTCAGAAATATTTGCACGAGTCAAACAGGTGCTTCCTTTACTATGTACTGCGCATGCGTCAAAGTATTCTTATAAATTAGACAGTATCAAAATAAACGAAGGAGACAAATATATTTCTTACTAAGCAACTTGATTTTGAAATATGATAATTTCCTGCCTTTTGTTAAAAACGAATCAATCTGTAGACAAATCCGGATTCATTCTGAATTTATTATCCTCCTGTCACTTCCGGTTTTCATTTCGTTTAAAAATCGAAAATAAACGTGATCTATTCTTGGTTAATTTACAATATACAGTCATTAGAATCATTCCAACAAGGATTTGGACAAGTCCTTGGTTCCAAGTTTATAGAAATAAATTCCAAATATCGATTTAACCGTTTTTACAAGGATAATGATTATGCAGTGAAATAGTCGTTACCAAGGATTTGTATAGTAAGAACTTACTGTACAAATCCTTGTCGTTACAGTTTCATTTATGCTGTGATTCCTAGACCTGGTTTAAAAAAAAAAAGTAACCCAACTTTTGTTGGTCAGGAATGTCCCCTGAAAATAACTGAAGTGAAATTGTAAACTAGAAATCCAGATCCTTATTAGATCTTATCATAATCTTCATACTTAAGCACCACATCTATCAAATTATGCAGTTACTGCCTGAGCATGCCTAAGTCCTTCAAAGATGTATAGCTAGTGATAAATATCTTTGGTCCATTGCTTTTACCCAAAACCACTGTTGATCATGTTGATTTCATCTCGAGCAAAAGTGACTATACCCCCCAAAATCCTAGCTGAAACCCTGGTAAGGTAAGTTGATGCAAGACGTGTCGGCCACAGTGATTTGGCCATACTGCCACTTTTGTGCAATGGTTTCTTCTTATTATTCTGTATTTCAAATCTTGTCAGCAGGGTGATCTCAGGTGCTCTGGAAGAATACACAGATCCTGCTCCACATTGACACTTATTGTGTTGATCATCCTTTGTACAAATTTGGTGATAAGTCTCAATTGCCTTAATGGTGATATCACAATCAATGAAAATTGTGATTGTGTTATTGCCCCCTCCCTTTTTGTGATTTGTTTATTTTAAATTTTTAAATGGTTACATGTTGGCATACCTTAAATACACATCATGATTTGAAATTAGCAGTCAAACTCACCATATGCGAATGCTATTTGATGTGGACTGATAAAAATGTCATCTCGTATTAAAATTGTATGATATCAAGTAACTCACAGAAGCCTGAACATGAATGATTACCTTTAAGTTTTCACAACCAATTTCTGTTTATGCATGCGTGTGTGGAACTTTTCTTACTTTTGCCTAATTAGTAAAAATGCTAAACAAATATCCTTAATATACCAGCCAAAGTGTGACATCTGCTTATTTCAAATTCTGTCTATAAGAATGCCTTAGTAAGTAACATTTTTTGTCTAACAGGAACATGCTACAAACAGAAAGTGACCCAAGAGAAATTAACATGACCTGTATCTTTGGAAAATTCTATGGGACTCTTAAAAATATACCAAACCAATTCCTCCACAAATAATGTGAATTAAGTGACTGTATGATGGATGATGGGTATCATGTATCAATATATCTTATAACTTTTGGTGAGGAACCTACATCACTCAACCAAAGATTTTTGGATTTTCTGTCATCTGATAAAACAATCTTTTTTGCTTTTTTGCAACAAAATATTTCTCTTGTGACATAAAAATTTTACAGGAATGACTGAAAAGTGTGATAGTGGCAGATAAATTTTTCTTCATGCATGAATTTTGTTAATTACTTTGTTAAAAATGACTTCTCAATTTTAACTGTTGCATTACACAAAGCATTTTCAAATGTTTTTACAAAAACAGATACAAAATTTTATGTACAGTGTAGTTTATCCTTTTAAACCGCTGACTTTTGTTAGGAATAGGAATTTAATTTGAGAGAAAATGAGAGAGTATGCATTCCTATATTTGGTGTAATTAAAAAATTAAGACATTCAGAGTAGCGCCTGTTAAAACGTTTAAACCCGCTGCATTTGGTTGCACCTGTCATAAGTCAGGAACCTGTTTAAGTGGTTGTAGTTTGTTGATGTGGTTCTTAAGTGTTTCTTGTATCTCGTTTTTTTTTTATATAGATTAGACCGTTGGTTTTCCTGTTTGAATGATTTTACACTAGTCATTTTTGGGGCCATTTATAGCTTGCTGTTCGGTGTGAGCCAAGGCTCTGTGTTGCAGGCCATACTTTGACCTATAATTGTTTACTTTTTGACTTGGATGGAGAGTTATCTCATAGGCTCTCATACCACATCTTCTTATTTCTATTTACTTATGTGCTGGTGAATTGTCAATACCATATATATATATTCATCAACATCACCAAATAGACTAGAGAATAGGTAAAGAAGCAAAATGACCCTGCTTAGTCATAGTCTCTAAAGTTCTAGTTTATGTTTGTAACATTTTTATATGCATGTTTTACTTTTCTTTTATAGAGATATATTCAAAAGTTGCTCAAAATGCGATGGTTATTGCTAAACCAGCTGTGGTTCATTTTGGTGGATTTGAAGCTGACAAAAAACATGTCCAGAAACTTAGTATAGTAAATGCATCAACAGATGTCATAAGAATGCATATAATACCACCACAAACTAAATACTTCTACATTAAATATAAAAAAAGTGTGAGTAAATATTGTCATTGCGATTCATCTGGTACACTGTCTCTCTACATAAAAAAATTGTCTTGATTTTTGTTTAAACACTAGTTGGAATCATTATTTAAGGTTACTGCTTTGCTAGCTTTCATTTCACTGTATAATGTACAAATAACTGCAAAGGATTTAAACAGATATTTACTAAACTTGGCCAAATTTGGTGCAAAAATAATGTTTATTAGCGAAACTTTTCATTTAAATGAAGAAATTCTTATGATTCTTATCTTATGGTAGTAACTTAATACAAAAAACACAGAAAATATATTGATTGATTCAAGGAAAATAAAACAATCCATTATAAGGGAAGATTCATTTGGTGCCCTTTTAAACTAAGCTTAAAAAAGAATCAGTGCAAGGTCAATTTTATCTTTTGTTATGTACATGTATCAAGAAAATCAGTACTTTAATTCTGTTTTTGTCTCGCCTTGACAGAGTCAAAAAGCAAGACACAGGTATGCTGTTTCGGGCGGCGGCGTCAACAATGTATTAGTTTGTGATTAGGTCTAGTTTATTGTGAACCGCTAGTGGTAGGTCAATGATATTTGGTATGCAGTTGTATTAGCATTGGCACAGTTCATTACCATGGAGATTATTTGACCCCGCCCCCTCAGTTATGGTTTATTGACTTTGAAACTTTGCTTAGTTTACATGTATTAGTTTGTGGTTAGGTCAGTTTATGGGGAACCACTAGTGGTAGGTCAATGATATTTGGTATGCAGTTGTATAAGCATTGGCATATCTCATTTCCATGGAGATTATTTGGCCCCGCCCCTTCAGTCATAGTCTATTGACTTTGAAACTTTTGCTTAGTTTTCATGTATAAGTTTGTGATTAGGTCAGTTGATGGGGAACCACTAGTGGTAGGTCAATGATATTTGGTATGCAGTTGTATAAGCATTGCATTGGCACATCTTATTTCCATGGAGATTATTTGGCCCTGCCCCTTCAGTCATGGTCTATTGACTTTGAAACTTTTGCTTAGTTTTCATGTATTAGTTTGTGATTAAGTCAGTTTATGGGGAACCACTAGTGGTAGCTCAATGATATTTGGTATGCAGTTGTATAAACATTGGCATATCTCATTTCCATGAAGATTATTTGGCCCTGCCCTTTCAGTCATGGTCTATTGACTTTGAAACTTTTGCTTAGTTTACAAGTTAATGTTTGTGTTTATGTTTCTTTAAAGGGAACGACTTATGAAAAGTCAATGGTATTTAGTATGCAGTTGTATTAGCATTGGCACATCTCATTTCCATGGAGATTGTTTAGCCCTGTACCTTTAGTCATGGTTCATGACTTTGAATATTTGCATAACTTACATGTTAAAGTATTGTTATTTTTGAATTTCAACATTTGCATTATCAAAATAACAAATAGGTGTGACATATCTCTGTGTTAACAGTTTATTTCTTTATATCTATGTTCACGTATCTTATTTTTAAATGCTATCATTTAATTCCTCCTATGTATGATCCCTACAAAATATGAAAAAAATCACATCCTTTATTATAACTTTTATTCTTTGAAAATAACCCATTTTAAGCATCATTTAAGTTAAGTATTATAAAATGTTATAATTTTTTTTTACTACCTCAATGCCTATGTTTATCATACATAGTTTGCCCTGTTTTTTAATTCTTCAATGGTTTTAAATTATAAACTACTGTGAATTCAGAAAATTATTGTGTGTATTTTAATAATTATTGCCATATTTGAAGAAAGGACAAAAATGCAATATTGTTGTGATTTCAGGAAAATCTGCATACATATACATTGTATATGTATCGGATATCAGAATGTGAGATCTTATTATTGCGATACTTACCCATTATTCGCATTGAAATAATCCTCACATTAATTTCTGAATTTACAGTATTGTCAATACATTCATTATTTAGAATCTTAAACATCCAAAAATAATGCCAAAATTACTTAATGTGATTCCTGTAAATGTACATGTACAATGTAGTATATTAAAGTATTATTAGCAAATATTTAAAAGTTATAATTTGTATTTGAGATTTATACTTTTTTATCACATGCTTATCATATTGTAACACTATTTGTGTTTATTTACTTGTAGGAAAGATTAGTTCCTGGTTTAACAATAGACTGCACAATAGAGTTTACACCTGATGAATGGAGATATTATTATGACTGTATTAGAATTAATTGTCCGGTAGGTATCAAAATTGATGCTCAATTGTTTTTAAAATCAGAATTCAGATAATAAAAGATTAAACTTGAAAATATGTTGCTGTTAGCTAATCCATTTTAGGCATTCACAGCACCAAGGAGATACACAGTCACATATTTGGACATGTATAACTTATGATAGTTATTTCTTATTCTTATACCACCTTGATGGTAACATGCTTGCCTTAAATGCTTTAAAATTGAAAAATTTATTCATTTATTAAGTTTTCAAAATTAGTGTAATACTATGTTAAATCTTCAGGGATAAGCATGCATTATTTAGTATACAAAAGGCTAGCATATCATCTAATGGGTTTCATGCACTCTGATTTATTTAGTATAAAAATATAGCTTTTATTGTCTTGTTAATACATGTAGTTATAAATTTGTTTTCAGGGAGAACAAAATTTGGTTATTCCAATACATGCCTACCCTGTTATGAGTACCAAGGAATTTCCAACCAACTTTACTTTTCCAAATGTACCAGTAGGTCACAGAATGACACAAATTTTCCCATTAAGATGTGATGCACCAATAGATTTTGAATTTCAGTTAGCCTATTTACAACCTCATCCTGCATTCACTGTTGATCCAATGAATGGTATGTATAGAATTACTGCATATTCAAGTATTAATAAAAGCATAATGCACAGACAGTATGTTAAAATCACTGCTTGTGGTAAGCTAAAAATTAACTACATGTATTCAAGATCATTTATATTGAACTTGATTTTGTCTTATGAAAGAAGCCAAGCTTTGGTTATGAATTATAATTTCAAACATCTACATGTTTTTTATTGCACACTACAAGTTACTGATCTTACCTTAAAAGTCAAAGATTATGGGAACTCAAAATGCTAAAAAAAACCCAAATAAACTACATAATTGAAATGTTATGCCTTGAATGGCTAGGACATAAACATTTAGCCTGATGTTTATCTCCATTAAATTAAAGGATCATTGGCTGCCAAATTCATGCACTCTCAATAGGCCGTTTCAGAATCTAAAGGACCATGGCTAATTTTATTATTCAAACCCTAAAATGAAAATAATGTCACGTCAGTGGTTGAATTTCAATTATTTATGATGTTTTTAACCAATCACGATGCTTTGGTGTGCACTTTTGAAAATATTACCCAGAATGCATTAGATTCTGAAACGGCGGATTGACCCAAACTCTCAAATTTGATTTATAGCAGCATAGATCAAAGCATCAACTATGTTTAATGTACAGAAATCTCTGAAAAATGATAAGAAACTTTGTTTAGATTTTAATTGCATAAGTCAAAGCAACAATCTAATAATTGATAAAGAAATCTTTGAAAAATTGGGTGAAATAAAAGTATTTTTGTAATCATACTTAACCCTTTCGCCGATGAGTACCGGGATTCACGCTTCAGACAGCTGACGATGAGTCCCGTTTTACCGGGATCGGAATACCTCTTTTATATTTCCCGCTCAAAACAGTGCAAACACGAGTTATCTTACTTTGTTGAATACCCGGATGAAAGTGTAAACATGGCGCTTCCATTTGTTGAAAACCGTGTCAAAATCAGAGGAAATTTACGGAATTTACGAGAATTTAAAATGAGGGAACATTTTTTTTGAAAGAATATGGGAGAATTGAAGCAAAACTAGTATACTTTTTTGACATAAAATGTTGTTTTATGTACAAAACACTTGGAATGGACATCGTTCAGTGTAAGGAATTTGTACAGCCTCATTAAATTTTTCAAAATTTTGCCGTTTTGGGTTAAAAAATTACGATTTTGGGTCAAAAAGTAGAATTTTGAGAATTTCACCTAGATAATGCCGAAAATTTGAATATTTTATGAAGAAAAAATTATCAAAACATGAACAAAACTGTGAACATGGTGTTAGTGAATGAAATAAAGACACAAAATACTACAGACAACTTTTTATTGACATTTATTATGAAGATCTCCCACTTGAGTAATAGTAGCCAGGGAAGCCATCGTCTCAGAGTAGCTTCTGTCTGGGCAGCTATCGGCAAAAGGGTTAAGGTGGATAGGGGGTCTTAATTAAAATCCATAGAATTTTTTAATTATTTGTCAAAATGTAGTTTTTATCATGCTTTTTTCCAAAATATAATAAAAAGTATGGGTCACCAGACTTTTTTTCACGCTACAGGTTCTGCAAAATTGTCAGATTTTGTATAGATTATGCATGGAAAATCCAATTTTGTGTGATAAAAAGAAAACTACACCATAGAATTTTAAGATAAAATGTGAGAAGATAGCTCTTATAACATGCTTTCAGATAAGAAAAAGAAAAAATGGTGTCACCAGACTTGTTTTCTTGCTTCATATTAAAATAAGTAAATTCACAACACTTTCTAAAATAAGTAAATTCACAACACTTTCTAAAATAAGTAAATTCACAACACTTTCTATTATAAAAAAAATACTTTATCTGAGTTATCTCCCCTAATATCTGAGTTACCTCCCCTTATGTGGCAAAGTTGAAAAAAAAATCAAACAAAAATATTGTGTTTTTTGGAAAATACAGCCGTAAATATGATAAAACACATACTTTTCTATATTAACATGAAAAGTCTTACACATGAATTACATACTGCTCTCAAAATTTAGGATCTAGACCAATTGTCATCTGCTACTTCAAAATCCAAGATGGAGGAAGACACCCCAGCCACCTTATTAGTAATCATAAAAAAAGAATCATCCAAATTGTCATATACTCAATGAATTCAATACAAATACAAATGTATATGAAAACACTTTAATCTTTATAATTCTTAATATTTATCTAAATAATTCATATTCCTGTTTAGTAAATTAAAACCATCTGCATTTAGAAAAGTTGTTGATGTTGATATTATGTTACAGGTATTATACCAGCACAAGGAGAAGCAGATGTTGCAGTCACATTTGCCCCATTTGAGTTCCAGACTGCACTAATGAAGATACAGCTAACTATATCACAGTTCAACTCCAAACCAATAGTATGTCAGTTCACAGGCTCATCTGTACCAGGGTTACTCAGGTATAATCTCAAACATAATGCAACCTTTTGATAAATACTACCACTTCAGACTGTGTCTGTCCAAAATCTAGAACCTCTTGAGAGATTATCTTATGTCATATCTTCATGTTTTTATGCCCCTGCCGTAGACAATGGGGGCATTGAGTGTTACCTTTGACTCCTTCCGTACGACTCATTTTCAATTCAGCACTGTAAGTTTGCCTCATTCAAATTTTATGAAACTCATACAAAATGCTAAGAACCAAAACTAGCAGACAGAGTTAGAAATTTAGGCAATGAGTCTCTCACATTCTAGAGTTATGCCCTTTATAACTTGGAAATTTGCTTCTTTTTTTTTTCATTTCCGCATTATTACTTAAGTTTAAACTCATCCAAATTTTATGAAAATCATATGCAATGCTAAGAATCACAACATGCAGACAGAGTTTGAATTTGGGTTGTGAGTCATTTACTGTTCTAGAGTAAACCCCTTTAAAACTTGGAAAATTGCAAAGCTTGAACAGGGGCATTCGTATCCTCAGACACATTCTTCTTTTATTTTTTCTTATTTAGAGATATTGGTGTCAGATCTTTGATAGTTTTTGTTCAATTTGTTTGCAAATTTTATAGATAAGGAACCATTTAGAGCTTCAAAATTCAAAAGTCAAAGACAATAAGATTGCATAAAATGGATTTAAAAGATCCTACATCACAGGAAGATACATATATTCAGTGAAGTCTAGTGATTAGGGAAACTTCAGATCACAGATCATTGGAGGGGACTTAGATGTCATTTAAATTTGCTATATCTTTCTATAAGGATAGAAAAATGAAGTTGACTTAACTTACTTGACTTAATCCACTTCGTCCCATGGGGGACATAGGGCGACCACAGTAGCTTTCCATCTTTTCCTGTCCTTGGCTAGTTTTTTTGCTTCACCCCATGTTTTCCCAATTTTCTGTAGATCAGATGTAAGATCTCTGCGCCAGGTGGATTTTGGTCGCCTCTTTTACGATGACCCTGAGGATTCCAATCTAACGCCTGTCTAGTTACATTTGTGTTGTTTTTACGTAAAGTGTGTCCAATCCATTTCCATCTGCGTGTTGTTATCGTTCTTTCTATTGGTTCTTGTCTTGTCCTTTTCCACAATTCTTTGTTGCTAATGGTGTTTGGCAGTTGAAAGCTCTATATTTTATTATATTTTCCACATAATTGTTAAATGTAAGGTAACAATTTCAGTGAGATACCTTTGTTGAATTATGAGTACTGTATATTTTAATCAATTGTGAGTGAATTCAAGTCTTACTATTAGTTAACATGTCAAATATACAATATAAGGCTAGCTTATATATCTTTTCTTCACACGGTTTGATGAGAATCCTAAAAACTTGTCTTCTTTCAGGGACCTGTCTTTGAGGGATTATGACCATGAAGTATCAGAACAGAATATATTAGATCCTAGATGTTTAACCCCTTTAGAGAGATCAAGATCAAAGAAAAAACTACGAGAATCAAAAGATGAAGAATCTTTCAAATCACAAGTAATTTTGAATTTTGAATACATTAAAATGGTATATTATTATAATATTGGTCTCAATATCTCCTTATTAACTATTCACTTTGAGTCAACTATTGTAACATAACAATTTCTCAATTTGATTAAAACCAGTCTTCTTTTATCAATTTTTTGACATCTTAGAGATTTGGATAAAATTCACCACAAATTTTTATTAAGATATATATATAAAAGAGGAAATTTTCAAAAGGGGTTTATTTTTGCTCATTTGGTGATTAAGATACAATTGCATAAATATTCTCTCTGTATATTTGATCTTTAAAAAAAAAAAGTTAGGGACAAGAAGAAAATGAAAAAATAACCTTTGCAATCGGTTTGGCCATAGAAATCGAAAAAATTTGAACTCCATGGAATTCAAACCAATTTACAGTAATGTGTCTTTTTATACTTTTGATATTGTTATAATTTTTTTTCTTCAGGAAATAGAATATGGTGGTGTGCGGTTTCCCCCAAACTTAGAAACACCATATGCAGTTGCACAAGTATTGAATCAAGAACCTGGCAAGCTGAGAGCCAAAGATCTCAGAGAAAGTATGTATTGATAATCAAGAGCTTTTTGTTCTGTCCAAAATGTTTGGACTACTTATGTTCAGGGTTGTTTCAGTTTGTAAAGTGTGAAAATTGAATGATAGGAAATTTCATGTGCATTATTGTCTGATGATGCTGCAAGAGTTTTTGCATAGTTAAAGCTACATTAGGAAAAAATCTGAAAAATGTATGCAGGATGTATACACCTGTAAAATGGTCATTTTGAGTGTCATTTACAGAAGCAGGTCTTTTATGTCAACAAAGTTTGAAAATAAGATTGATGGAGTAAATACTTTGTATACAATAATTTTTAAATACAAATTTGGGACACCAAATTATCTGTAAGTTATAACTGTTTTTGTTTTTTTTTTAACTTTTTGATAGTATTAAAGATATTTAAAAATTACTAATTCTGAGATTAAGAGATGAAAAAGGTAACTTTGCACCTTGATACAAACCTGAAAAAAACATCAAATTATGGCAAGGACTTGATAACGTGACATTAAAAAAAAATTCAAGCACGCCTTCCTCCAACACCAGTTAATTATTATACATGTGAATAAAGTAGATGTTTAATATCAATTTCTTATTTTCCCAGCTGTGTTAGCAAAAAGTAAACCAGACAAATCAAAGAAAGCAACAAGGCAGATGAAGGTAAAGTAACATTTAGTTCAGGGCACTTTTTTTAGTCAGAATACAGCTAAAAGGAGACGTGGGATAACCATTAATGAGACAGCAATTAAATAACACAACAAACGAAAAAGACATCTTGACATTATTTATGATTTTGCTGCTTATTAATTGAAATATAGTTGTATCATTAAAGCATTATTTTTGAATATGATTAATGTAGCACAGAATTTGTATAACCTTTTGCATTGTTATTGTAAAGTGGTTAAAATATTCTTGGTCTTTTAGCTTTGGGACAATGTAATCATTTTATTTTGTGCTTGTAGAATAATTTTTATTAATGTGATTGGTTTTGCATGAAATAAAATTTGTTCATTCAACTCTCATAAAGTTAGTTTTGTGTAAAATAATTACTCTGTATTGCATTATTTATACTATCATCTGATATCATAGGAAGCATTGTTTGAGCATAATGTACGACAAAATGTTTATGAAGAAAGACAAAACCAGTTACGATGGCAGGTCAAATTAGGTGATGATCAGATTACAAATGATGCTCGTGCAAGTGTCTTAGCTGCCAGAGGTGAAGCTTGGGATGAATATGTGGTATGTTTTATAGTATGATCTCAATGTTTACTGTTCATCAATTTAAGTCAAGTTCAACTTGTTGTTTGTTGGCACATTTTTATGAATATTTCTAAAAGAATAAAAGGTGAAATAAAAAAAACAATTTACATATAACGTTTTTATGTCTTGTTAGATTTGAAATTACAGAAAAAAAATAGGGGACATTGTTTTGGTCTGCTTAAGATGAAAAAGATTTTTTAGACAACATTATAAATGTACATACATCTTGTTATTCATTGATTTTCACAATTTTTATATTTTAGTACAAGAGGAGAGGTGACCCTGTGGAGGAGGATGAATTTATAAGAACAGCAACTAATTGTACATTACGAAGAACTTTTAGAGATTCTTCAGAGGTAATTATACTTTTGAGGCTATAATTAATAAAACAGTTAATTTTGTGATCCTGGTTGTTGAAATTTATTGCAACATATGATGAACAATGTAAGAATTAAATGAAATTTCTGTATACTAAAGTATGAACTTATTGCATAGGAAAAGAAGAAAGTGAAGGTATGAGTTCAGTATTATTGTTTTGTTTGTAATGACAGTTCCAGGAGTTCGACATAGATATTAACAGCTTTAACCCGGTCAGATTCAATTGTGTCTTGTACTTTGTTTCACTAAAATAAATGAAATTTTGTTTATAGGTAGCTGTACATTTTGACATCAACTTATAAGGTCTCCTTCTTGGCTACTATATATACTACAATATATTTTAAACATAGATATGCTAGTTTGGCATATGTCAGAAGCTTCAATTTCATTTTCACACTCCAGTTCATATATAACTGACAGGTCAGTTCAATGTGTTGTATGGATTGTTGAAAGGGCATTAAGGCAGTAGGAGTATATCAAACAATTTTGATCTGATTTTTAGCTCCAGTTGTCATATTAAGTTGAATGGCTATGTCTGATTTTCAGTTACCATGCATGACCAATCTAGTTTTGGTTTGTGGATTCATTTTAAGGAATACCAGTATATGTAAATCTGCTTGTTACATAATTTTACAGTTCAGGGGAAAGGTTAATGATCTTGAATCAAGTCTGTTCATCAGAATTAGTACCAGTAATACATATATATTTGAAATAATTGTATGCAGTACAAAGACATTTGGTTTTTACCTCTGTTTAAAAGTCTTTTACCATTCATTCTATAAAAAAATGAAACTCAACCAAACTTAACCGACTAAAAAATTTTGTTATTAAACAGTAGTCATTAAACATCCTGATACAGTTAGTCTGTTGTCCAGATTTCCCTGAGTTCTGTTTATACAAATCTCACTGTACATGTATTTTTGTTGTTTACAGTTAGCACCAGAGGAGGCTAAGTTTGATACATACACCAATGATTTATGGGCTGTCAGACATAGAGCTTTAAGTAAATTTGCACAAGCAGCTAGAAAGGTAAGTTGTTATCATTGAATTGTTTATCACAAGCTCGTACTGCAAAGTATCTATTTGTCTGGAACATTCATTTTTTGAAACAATAACCTTATATATGTATTTTGGGCTTATATTTTACAAAACATTTCAACAAAATTACTTTACTTTCTTTTGATATGCAAATTTTTAAGTTTTGAAAATACCTTGTATTTTGAATTTGATTTGTTGCCATGAACATAAGTCTTGCCTGTTTATGCCCCCGCCGTAGCAGAGGGGGCATTAAGGTTTACCCTTGTCCGTCCATATGTCCCGAAATTGGTTTCCGTTCTCTAACTTGAGTTTCCCTTGACCAGATGTTATGAAACTTATACACAAAGCTTATTACCACAAAACACAGATCAAGTTCGAATTTGAGTGGTGTCACTTTTACCGTTCTTGAGTTATGCCCTTTATAAATGGAAAAATTGCTGTATTTTGCGTTTCCGTTCTCTAACATTAGTTTGCCTCAACCAAATGTTATGAAACTTATACACAATGCTTATTACCATAAAATACAGATTAGGTTTATATTTGGGTGGTGTCACTTTAAAAGTTCTTGAGTTAAGTTCCTTTATAACATTATCTGCCAGTGGGGGCATCATCTGTATCCCATGAACACATTCTCCATTTAATTAATAAATCTTTTCTAAAAAAAGATCATACTGAATTAATTAAATGAAATGTACCACTATGACTTGTTTTTTTGAAAATGTACAAATGCACATTTAGAATATAAAGGATGGGAACCTGATTCATCTATATAATTGTCTCTCTTCTATCTCTTTTTAAGGTAATAATTAGGTCCAGAGCAGACGTGAAATTGAAGTCATTAGCTATGCTTGTTACTGAATGGAAAGATAAAAAGTTTATAAATAGTGCTGTGTCAAGTGAGTACTTTTTAACCTTAGAAAGATTTAAAATTCAAGTGATGATGTGGGTTATCTAAAGTGATTAAAGCTTTCAGTTAGTTTTACATATACATTGTATCTTTGCCAACATACCTAATAAAAAAGGAGAGAAAAAGAGTATTAAGAAGATTAAATTCTGATATTTAATTTAAAGTTTTGTGTTTAACCCATCTCTTGAAGTCTATTGATAGGTGAAAGACTAGAGATAAAGCTGGTGTAGTTGTTTTAGAAGTGTCTGTAATTTGTCACTAATAGGATGAAATGTAGATAATTTTGTCATTGACTTATGATATATAGGAAAAGCAATTAATGCATTTTAACTAACAAATAAAACAATCTTATTTTGACTTGATATAATGCAGCTTCATAAAAAAAATAAATTGTTTCATAACATTGCAGATGACCAACAAGATAAAATGGAAGAAGATGCCAAAAAAGAATTAATACCAACAACATTAACAATGGCTTATGAGAAGATTCATAAATTTACATTTCCTACTTATGTACCACCTAATGTCAAGGATGATATGGTAAGAACTATTTCCCTTAAGATACCAGGATGTTTCAACAAATCAACAGATTATTGTGTAGCCAGAAAGAGTTCATTTGTCACTAGCAACACATAGGGAACACTTCTGTCATCTTGCATCAAGTAAACTTTTGATCTTGATGTGTTTCTTTCCTGCTATTCAGTATCGGTCTTGACAAAAATACAGGGGTAGCATTTTTATGTATGTGGTTATCATTTTTCGACATTGTTTGTCCGTTTTTTTACATATAGCTACATTTATGATTATATGGGTAAATGAGACTTATCAGTAGCATTGGATATGCAAAAAAATAAACCTTCAGAAAAAAGGATTTGCTTTCAATGATGTTCATGTTAAAGTCTTAGTCATGAGAACAAAACTTCTAGATTTCTAGAATAGAATGGAACACACTGTACAATTTGTTTTATTATGAATTACAGGCACCAGATGCTCTTGGAAAGGTACCATTCAAACCTACAGAAGTGGTGGTCAAAACTAAAGTTCCTTATTTTGGATTAAAGGTATGATCCTCTATTTAGTTCTCATTGCTACATGTTTTCACTATAAGTCTTTGTTTGAATGCCTATCTTATGACCTATATCAGGTATATGGTTTATGATGTCCATACATTTGTCCATTCACAAATCAAAGAATAAATACAATTTTTCATATTTTTTCGTGCTTCATACAAAATGTGCTTCGGTCAATGCTTTATCACCCCATTAAAATTACAAAAAGAAGCATTCAATTCTTAAATGTGTCTAGGCTTTATCCAAAAAGAAATTTAGCTACATGTCTTATATAAAGATCTAAATCTGTGTAAAAAGATCTTTTTGGGTAAGGCCTTGGCTCATATTTAACCTTTATCAAAAACTATGGGTAAAATGCATTTTAAGTCAATTTCAACATGTTTATGACATCATTGTGATATTAAAACTGACGTCATCCCATTCATTTATTTATAAAACTAAACATAATTTTGAAAGGATTGAAGAATTTAACTTATTCGGGAATTTCATGGGCTCTTCTTTGTCAATGATCTATATTGATTAGAAAAGGTAACTAACATCCATTTTGATGACTGATTCTGGAATTCTGGGACTTCAATCCCAAACATCTGTCCATCTGTCCATCCACATTTTATTTTCTTTTATGACATTTAAAATTATACCAGGTTAATTATACTCTCATGACATAATGGTTATTATTCCTTAGGTATAATTTTATCACATTTTTTAAATAGAGAGAAACATAAAAATAAAAGGAATAGAGTAGTATACAGTCGAACCTTGTTGTGTCGAAAACTCGGATGAGTCGAAGTAATTTCTCTGTCCTAGTAAAATTCCTGTTTGATCAATGCATAATTACCTCTGATGAGTCGAACTCGGTTGATTCGAATACTTGGTTAAGTCGAGTAAATTTCATAGTCCCATCGATGTAAAATTAATGTAAATTGACCCCGATGTCTCGAAGTTCGAAAATAAGAATTTTCGAAAGATGCTGACCTAATGATGAAAATTCAAATCGGATGTATTTCTTATGCAACCTAATCATTTCAAAAGAGATTAGAGTTGAGTAAACATACTTGTTTGTATAACAGTTAAAATGACATGTTTATGGTGACCAGTAATTAACACCTTTATTGATCGTTCAAGCGGAACGTTAGTGTGTTGAACATATTTCACCTGACATAAAAACGAAACGAATTTAAATGACCCAAGCCGAGATTAAATGAATCGTTATAATTAAAATTCATTAATTACAATATATAAAAGGATTTAGACAATTATGATAAATTCATAATAATTTAATGTAAAGCAGACCGTTCAGAACTTTTTTCTTCCACGAGTGATTTCATAATTTAAAGTGACTGACCTTTGTAAATATTTGTGTATACTATTGATTTCATTGGTGCATGATTTGTATCTGTACTTGTGACGTTGTGTGTTTAATTATTATGAAGGACCAAAAAATATGGAGATGGAATACACAATCATAAAGTGTCATATCAAAAAAAGGCACACTGTTCCAAGTATCTAGTTTACAAATCTTATATTGTATTTCATGCATTCCAAAGTTATGACGACACACTCGACCTCGAATGAGTCGAACCTCGGATAAGTCGAATACTTTGGTCCGGTCCCTTTGACTTCGACACAACGAGGTTCGACTGTTTATGTTTTCATTTTACATTAATCGTGGTAGATCTAGAAATGGAGAGATTTTTTTTTCTCAAACTTTAAAGATATTTAAATTTCCTAGTAGAACGTGAAGTATTGGTATTCTGATAGACAAAGTTATAACTTGTATTTCAGGTACCACAGACGTACAGACTTATGGGATATGATATACATGAGAGTCATACATCAGCTAGTGGATATGTAGCTCCCAAACTTGCCAGACCATTAAAGACAGGTGCTGAGGTTAGTAATGTATCTACACAAACTTGTGTCTCAAAGGTTGTTAACAATAGTTGTTAAAGAATACATTGTACTGTCAGACATCCTCTCCTACCGTATAAAATGTTAGATAAAATTTAACCAAGTAGAGATTCAGGTACTACAGCTCGTTTCTGAATTTTATCTGTATAAATAATGTTGTGTTGGCACTTAATTTTTCCTCAACAATAATGTTTGAACCAAAAGAGAAATTGATTTTGTTGGTAATCTGATAATCTTCATCTAGAATGTAAAGTGTCACATATATATGAATTGATCTGTATTGTAATGTAAAACTTGTGACCATAAAATAATAGAATTCATTATCAAAATAGGAGGTAATACAAAAGTTTTCTTCAAGCAATTTTAAAAGAAGAAATAACAGGGTTTGTTATTATATAAATGTGCTATATTGTTCTTAAAACTTTATAATTATTGAACCCATTTACATGCTACTTTTAATGAAAGACTTGCCTCGATTTAAATGAACTTGATAATAATACCAATTTGTCTGTTTACAGGATGAAGTGATAACTTTGTCAGCATACCAGGCTGATACAGCTGCTCCTCGAGTGGTAGATGTAACTGAGGAAGGGCCAGTAACACTTCCTGAAGGCACAGAGGACTTCGTCAAACCTGATGTCATTATACAGTCCCAACCACAGCCTGTAGCTTTAACTCCACCTAAAGCATTATTTCATCCAATTGAATATCCACCCCTGCATATATTTGTAGGTTTTATAATATTGAGTCAACATCTATTCAATTACTGGTTAACATTGAAATTATTAGTATTTGCGGTTTCCTATAATAATCGATGTCATGTTACACTCTATCACAAAATTCTACACCTAAATTATTTTACATATTTGGTAATTTGAACAATAGTTTTAGAACATGTCTGGATCAAATAATTTGTACGTTCCTTTCAATGTTTTTCCCATGTTACTGAACCTCCATAATTCCTACCTCCATGATCTCAAGGATTTTATTTGATCCATAGGCATCAGAGTTCTACCTTCTATTTATATAGAGTCAATTATTATGGCTAAACTTGATCGACATTCTTATAGGATTTTTTGCATAGAATTAAAGCCATTAAGGCATTAAATACATAATAATAATACAATGATTATTCATTGAAATTTTACATGAACTTAAACACTGTTATTTTAAGTATCCAGTTGTTTTAGCATTAGCACATCTCATTTCTATGGAGATTTCATTGCTCCACCGTTCAGTCATAGTTAATTGACTTTGAAACTTTTGCATAGTTTACATGTTAAATTTTGTGATTAGGCCAATTAAGGGGAAACACTTAAAATAAGTCAATAATTTTTGGTTTGCAGTTGTATTAAGTTTGCATTTCTCATTTCAACTCAGATTATTTTTGCTTATTTCATATGTTAAAGTATTGTCATTTTAAATTCTACATTTGCATTTTACTATCAACGTTATATACATATCTCTGTGTCAACAGTTTATTTTTTAATATGCCGAAAATTAAAGGTATTACAAATTGCAATAGAGAATATATTGATTAAGATTATTGATTTTATTTTTTTATATAGAACCCAGCTCCAGGTTTACAAGTATTCCAAGCTCCAGCTCCATATGCTGAAGTAGACCCTGATTTCCATTTATGTCCATTACCACGTTACATCAGGAAAGACTATGCTACTAATCAGCATGCAGCCACACAAAGGAAGTACCTAGATAGAGAGGTAGGTTACACTTCCCATGTTACAATAGATGAGACCATGCTACTTATCAGCATGCAGCCACACCAAGAAAGTACCTAGATAGAGAGGTAGATTTACCTTTACTTCAACTTCATACTTTATTTGGGCTTTTTAACTTTTTTGATTCAAGAGTCTCTGATGAGTTTTTTGTAGACGAAATGCGCGTCTGGCATAAAAAAAAATTATTCCTGGTATCTACGATGAATATATTTACACTGTTACAATAGAAAAGACCATGTTACTAGTCAGAAATAACCTAGATAGGAACATTTACTTGCATTATAACATGTTTAAAGACAGATCTGTGAAATTCAGTACTGCCATAAAAAACAATCTGATTGAAATACAGATTCTATGTTGCCACTTTGCCTACAAGGATCTGAAGATGTATGTTAATCAATTTGCATAAGAAAGGAATTCTGATCCCTTAAATTGCAGCTAAAATTAGTAGACTATAAGAATATCATAATATATAGGTTAGCTAGATTGGTTTTAGGATTTATTATTATTAACAGACAAAAAAAATGAAAATAATTTGGTGCCAAGATCTTTCTTCAATCTAAATTATAGTAGACAATGTAACATCATCATCAGTAGATACATTTTTTTTATGTTATTATCTATTTCCTAATATGATGTATATATAAAACAATTGAGATCTAGGACTTTAAAATATATAAATCTGTCCCACCTTTGACACAATGAATTAGTCCTGTTGTCAGTAAATTTTGTATAAAGAAATGTATTTAAATTTGCCATAAATGTTTAGATATATTGTATTATAAATATGTGTATTTGTTAATCCGACCTAAAATCATTACACAGTATAGTTTATCTGAATACAGTCTGATACCAGATTTATACTGGTTCTGTGTGTGTAAATCATAATAATACTTAACTATACTGATACCAGCTTTATACTGGCTCTCTTTGTTTGAATCATAATAATACTATTTTATACTGGCTATCTGTGTGTAAATCATAATGATACTTTTCTATACTGGCTATTTGTGTGTGAATCATAATAATACTATTTTATACTGTCTATCTGTGTGTAAATCATAATGATACTTTTCTATACTGGCTATCTGTGTGTGAATCATAATAATACTATTTTATACTGGCTATCTGTGTTTAAATCATAATAATACTATTCTATACTGGCTATCTGTGTGTGAATCATAATAAAACTATTTTATACTGGCTATCAGTGTGTGAATCATAATACTACTATTTTATACTGGCTATCTGTGTGTGAATCATAATAATACTATTTTATACTGGCTATCTGTGTGAATCATGATAATACTATACTTATGCTAGAAAAACTTCTATTTACAGGATGTAGTAAGAGGTGTTATGACATGGAAAAAGTTCCCATCCCAAGGCCTAACATCATTGTCTAACACACCTACATTAACTAATGTATGGGTTCCAAGATGGTATGTTTACATATGTTTACTTCTAACATACAATTAGTTTACATCATAGCTAAGGCATTTTGTATGACTATTCCTTAGAAAATTCAGTTGCGTTATGATAGTCTTTAAGTTGTAATATAACTCATATCAGTCTGCAGAAAAAGGGGAAGAAGATATAAAAGGTTTGTAATAAGTGGACCAGAAGCATTAAGAATTACAATAAATGTAATTGGAGTTGTTGAAGTTCATAATATGTATATGGTCTTCTAAATAGAAATATACTCACATTATGTCCAAGTCTCCTCCTCAGTAGACTGACTGCTGAATAGAAGGTTAATGTGTCAATGATTGCTGATTCAGTCTTGTTTATTATTGCAGGGATGATCAGTTTGATGATGATTTATTACCTAGAGATGTTCCAGATTTATTAGACTCTCTACCAGAGGATGACCGACAAAACATTCTAGATGAGTAAGTCTTGTAAAGGCTCATTTTGATATACTTTTAAATTTACACAAATATTATACAATTACTGTCTTTTGATGAGGTAAATATATGATTTTATTGACTTTTGAAAAACTGATATTCACTGAAGACAATAATTGTTTTATTATGTATTCCGACAGAGAAAATGTATTTAATGACAATTATACCAAACCTGATTGCACATCAAACAATTTTACCATAATTATACACGTAAAAAACATGCAATTTTTTGCACTTTGAATATACTTTTACCTCAGGTGTATATGCTGTTTTATTCAAAATCCAATTCATATAGAAAAGACCTACTAAAGTTCTATCAATATGGAATAAACACTGTTACAGAGATGTATATCTTTACAAAAATAAATTAATTGATATTTTATTAAGGTCCAATGGTAAGTAAATATGTATGCATATTCAGGCTGTATATAACATGGAAAAATTAAAGCATTACTTCACAATGTAAATTAAGAATGTTTGGATAAGTTTTGTTATAATCTCACTTTAGAAGCAGATGCTATATAGCAACCACCCTGTATTGGTCTTAGAATGACTTCGTATTGGTCAGCATCTTGACAGTGATGAGTTGTAACATGTGATCTTTTTTCAGATCTGTCAGACACCTACTTCCTGTGTGTAAATACTTTTAATTTTTTAATGTGCTGAATGAAGACAAAAACAAATATTCCTTTACACTTTTCTCAGAAACTACTGAACAGAATAACTTAATATTTGGTCAGCAACTTCAAAGTCATGTCATGGGAGTACTTTCAGATCTACCATACACCTACTTCCTGTTTTCTTATACCTTGAATTACAAGCTGGGGTATGCTTAGCATGACAATCTATGCAACATCTTGTTTGACCTTAGAATCAAACACAAGAAAATTCTACATAAAGTATCTTGTTTGCAATCAAATAAATTTATATTTCATACATTTGAAATTAAAGTTATTGGAAGCTGAATTTTCTTCCTTGACTTAACATCAAATGAACCCAGTGTTCTTTCCCGGATTTTTGAGAGCACATCATACAGGCTTCAAAAAAGCCTTATAAATCAGTGGTCATAATGGAAATTTGAAAGATGGTAAACAAGCTTGTGAATAATGCCACAAAATGGATATCACAGATATGTTCATAGCAGTCTTGGGTTTAAGTTGATGCTAAAAAGTTAAAAAATCAATCTTTTTTAAAAATACTTATTTTGTGATTGCGATTTTCAGAGATGAAGAGGAAGACAGGACAACATCGCGACTGGAAGTTACATTAACACCTGATATGGTGACAGCACAGTTCTCTCTCATTGATATGTCTACTCCAACAGACGAGAAAACTTCACAGTAAGTACAGTCAAACCTGTATTAAGAGACCACTCAAGGGAGAAGGCAAAAGTGGTCTCTTAATACAGTTTCCCAATTTAAATAGAAGGAAGCATTTATGTGCATTATTCATGTAACTTTTGAACGTACTAGTGTAAGTATAAACAATACTGTATTGGTCTCGTATGTATATCCACTATGACTAATTATGAGAACTGTTTGAATAACCAATTTCACTCTAAACATGAGTTGAAGTTTAAAATAATTAGAAATAAGCGATCTTTGGCTAGGGAATAGACGTCCTGATTTTTTAACTTTATGGTAATCAATCCTCTTTACTCGGTCGTTCTAGCTGATTCACTCAAGGATTGCCGATTGTTAGAATGTCAACAATCAGTAATCCTCGCGTGAATCCGCTACTCTCGCAACAGAATCGACCAAGTTTAAACGAGAGGAAAGTCAACATCGATCATCAATATGGCGGTACGATTCCACTTTTTCGAAAGTTGCTGATCCTTCCAAATAAATTGTGGTCATCTAAGACAGTGCATGTGGTCGTTTTAAACAAGTTAATGCGGTCGCTGGTCGCGTTAAGCAGGTGGTCCCTTAATACTATTAAAATATATAGGGAAATCTATTGGGGGGGGGCTTGAAAAGTGGTCGTTAACAGCAGGTGGTCACTCAATACAGGTGGTCCTTAAGGCAGGTTTGACTGTATATATAACCGAATACGAAATCCTTATAAAGAATTAAACATTCTGTTTAATTATTTAATGTATAGCAGTATGTAAATATGTGATCTGTCTGATTTTAACAGAATTTTGCGTGCAACTAGATCACCAAGTCCTTTATTTGAAAAAGTCGCTTTTTTTATGGATGCAATTATGGATGGTGGAAATTTCACAAATGGTTATTTCTACCACATTATGTCAGGGATGGAGGTAGGGGTTTGTTGCAGATTTTTTTAATATTTTTATCAGTTACAAGTCTTGAGTAATTTCAGTTCTGATTTTCAATTTAAAAATTTGTAGCAATGTTTAAAAAACAATAAGAAGGACAAAGCCTGTTCTGTTTCTGTTTTTGGTTTTTTTTTTCTATTTCTATTACTGTGGATTCATTTATTTTCGTGGGTACCAATTTTCGTGGTTTGAAGAAAATTTGCATATTCGTGGATATTTAATTTCGTGGTTTTTCGCAAAGTCTGCATACCTTCCTTTAGAAAATTTGTAATTCGTTGAACATTTAAATTCGTGGTTCTCCTGTACCCACGAAATCCACGAAAATTGGTATCCAACGAATATTAGAGACCAAAGAGGGTTAGATGTCAACCACTAAAGGGCATTGTTTGGCCTTCAACAATTAGCAAAAATCCATACCGAATAGTAAGCTATAAAAGCCATGGAATGGCAAAATGTGAAACTATTCCAAAGAGAAAACCTATTACTGATTTATGTACTTTTTTTTAGAGATGTATTCCCTTATGGCAATAAACTTCCAACAACAAACATTCCAGTATCAGCATATGGACCAGTTCCAAGGTAAATACAATAATCATTGATACCAGTTTTATGGTTAAGAAAACCTCAAAACATGATTTAAAATCTGTATCCACTGTGTTAAACGCTTTTTAATAGCCATTGCTTATCAGCTTCCTTGTTACTTAATACTTATAGCTGTGGTATTAGAGGTGACCAATAGCTCATAGAACAACTTGCTTTTTCTGGTTACGAAAATCTTTTTCAGCGCACTTTACATTCTTTATTTTCAAATAATAATCAAAATAAGTTATAAAAATAATGGTTTGCTTCTAATCCTAGCTATATTGTTAAACAATACAATATAAAATATATTTGCAAGCAGAAGAAACATTAAGGAAGGATTTGTACAAGTTTCTAAATGTTTCTATTTTAGCTAATGTTGTGTTGTTTGTGTAAACTTTATGCCTACGCAACAAAAATTAGAAAAGTTATTTTTTTACCCTTTCAATGAATAGATGGTTTGTCCACTTAGCTTTACCTACAGTTTTTTAGTGAAAAATATTTGTTATGCACTGAAAATAATATTAGACAGTGCATATTATCAGGGTTGTGATTTTCTTAAACTATTCACAAAATTACGTACACATGCTAAACATCAAAGTAATCACTTTGCAGCTTAGGGGAAATAACTCTATTTTAAACTTAATTTGTTACTTGTGACACACAAATTCCAAATAACCATACTTTCTCAGCACGTGAGTACATAAAGTTGTGATGAGGATAAGTTATAAAAATGAAAAGAAAAAGTCATTGATAAAGTATAAGTGTACATCACAGATTTATGCTTTGCAGTGAAAAATCAATTTTCAAGTTGGCATGCATTTACCCTTTCATGTTTAGTAAACATATTGAAATCTTTTTTTATTTTCCCTATTTTATGTGGTTTCTCTTAATTTTGGTTTAGTTTTTTGTATAATATTACATTGTTAGTGAGTTCAATTATTCGTAATTTGTCAAGCTAGATAATTTTGAATTTAGCAAAATGTAAGTACATGTACAAATGATTTTGATTACAGAATGAAAGATCGTTGAACCTTTATTTTATACTTTATCTGCTTATTTTCTACAGTTCTTTCAGGGTACACTTTTGTCTTGTTCTGTACCTAAATATAGAAAACACAATTCAGAATGCATGCAAAAATAAGAGAAATAATAGAAACATTAGTTATAAAGTAAATTCTGTATCCTGTACCACAATTCTATGTTTAATTTATATGTTGATAAATACTGTTGTCCTTATTCAATCACCAAAATATACATTCATTTCACATTTATTCAGATAATTTGCTTACTTTATTTGCAGTTACTACCGGTTAGAAAATTTTTATATTAAATATTTTTTTTCTCTTATATATGTGAACATATTAGATAAAATAGAGAATGGAAATGGGGAATGTGTCAAAGAGACAATAACCCTGTCAAAGAGTGAAAAACACAGCCAAAGGCCACCAATGGGTCTTCAACACAGCGAGAAAATCCCGCTCCCGGAGGCGGACTTAGGCTGGCCCCTAAACAAAAATGTGTACTAGTTCCATGAAAATGGACGTCATACTAAACTCTTAAACATATAAATGAACTAAAATTAAAAAAACATACAAGACTAACAAAGGCCAGGCCAGAGGCTCCCGACTTGGGACAGGCGCAAAAATGTGGCGGGGTTAAACATGTTTAGTGAGGTCTCAACCCTCCCCTATACCTCTAGCCAATGTAGATTAAACAAACACACAGCAATACGTACAGTAAAACTCAGTTTAAAAGAAGTTTATTAGAAAATGTTTTGTCAGGAATATTAATTCTATAAATTTCAATGATTGTTTTCTTTCTGTAGAGAAAAGAGAGAAGAAGAAATAGAATTTTTCATGATGAAAAAATATAACAAATTAGGAGGAAAAATACAGACAAAAACAACTCAACTGGACAATCTTATTACAGATCCTAAACTTGTGCTAAAGTGATGTGATAAAAGGATCATAGAGTATAATATACTATGGTGTGAATTTTTCCATCAAATGTGAACAAAAAGGAGGAATAATTGAAACAGGGAAAAAGCTGAATAGTATTAACGTCATGAATTCATTATAGTCTTTCAGGTTCATCAGCACAAGATAATTCTGTACTCTTACTGTTCACACACAAATAGTTCTGCCATTGAATGCTTTATATATCCTTATGACCACACAGAGGTAGTATGTTGATTAAAAAAGTAGCTACTGCTAAGTTACTCTATTTATTACTACAGTAGAGTACAAGGTAGATTTTTCATAATTTGAATACTTTTCAAATTTTAAGATAAAACCGCAAGTTTCCTTTGTGTTATCTAAGGTTAATAATTTTAAGATGTTTATTCCTTTGTTTTTAAAAAAATGACCTTTATATGTATCATGCTTTCATTAATTCTCTACCACTGCCTTTTTCTAAAATCCAAATGAATATTTATATGGAGACTTCTGTAAGGAGGTAAATGAAGACATACAGGACATGTATATGGCTTACAAATCTTAGTGATAAAACTATTTAGCTAACAGTATGTCCTATGAAGGCTTTTCCAGTATTTCCATACATATTTAAGCAATTTTCCATTCTTTTGAAGTCTTATTTGTGAGCGAAAAATTACAGTGTAATTAATTTCGCAGGAGATTTCCTAGTACCTTGGTAGGATGCTTGAAGTTAAAACATACTTTAATGCTTTAACTTACAAACAGCTTGAGATCAGTAAAAAAAGTCTAAAAAATTATAAGAAAAAAAGGAAATAACCTTAATGAATTTTTAATTGTATTTATATGATATTTTTCTTGAAACACTTTATGTGAAAAATAATCCGTCCATTTTAATTGAAGCTATTTATTATACACAAAAAGCAAACTATGTGTTATGACTAATTTTTGTATGCTTTCAATATGAATATAAAACTTAATTTGAATACTACATATGTATCCCATTTATCCAATATATAAATGTGACCCATATGTACTGTTTTATACAAACACAAACCTGAGGTTTCAGAAATATGCAAATGAATTTTGTGGAGCTCTCTAGGAAATTGGCCTGCAAAGAGTCCGTTGTTGTATAATGCTGTATTTGACAAAATTAGACATAATATGTCTGTAACTCAGTTCTTATTCTGTATCTGTTGAGTAATCCTGTATTATTCTTCTCATAATTATGAACTATTTATTCCGTATTTGAGACTGTGATATGAAAATTGTTTACATATTTAAATGTTATGGATTATATGTGCAGAAGATTGTTTTTGTATTTTATGATTTATTTTTATGTGAAGAAGAAACTATTTATATTATTAAAATGCATTTTTTATGAATGCAAATAAAACTGATTTACACAATAACAGGTCTGTATTTTTTCATGAGATATTTGATTTTCTAAATCATACAGTGTCAAACTTGTTTAGTCAAAAGTTTATTTTATACATCTTTAGACGAGTTTGGTGAAAGACCCAGTTGAATGTATTGAAGTACCTTACAGCAGATCTATTTGTCAAAACATTGTCTGAATTTTTTGGTAGAAGTCATGGTGATTGAATTAACTAACTACAGATTATAATAATTGTAGAAATCTAACAAATATTGTTATAATTTACAATCATTATAATAACAGAAGCATTGCAAACATTTAAACAACCATAGGGCATATACACAGATCTTTGTTAAATTTATGTGTGAATAAGATAAATAATTCAGATAGACTGCATAACAATGCCAATTTAAGCATAAAGACGGAAAGAGAAAAGGGGAAGTATTACCCATGAAAGAAGTAATTAGAAGTAGAAATATGCCATAACTAGAATACTATGAGAAATGCACCACAAACAAGTTGACACTTCCAATGTCCCCCATACAGCACAATGTGATGAGGTGAACATATGAACAAATTATGGCCATTTTTTACGAATGACATTTCATAATAAAGACATTAGTATGTTAAAGAAATATTAAACCAGTTTCAACATTCATAGGACATAATTGAGCTAGTTTTAGTGATGTTAAAGGAAAAAACTCAGTCTCATGGTAATGAGTTCAATTTAAAAACAGAGTATTGCTAGTTTGTTCCCCACCCTGGTCAAACCAAAACCTTTAAATCTGATATTTTACTGTTAATCATCCAAGTGCATGACATTTATAGAAGTAAGAGATCAGTTGGCCTTCAGTCAAGAGTTATATGTCAGGATAGGTTGTTGTTTCTACCTTTTGAGGTGATCAGTTGGCCCACAGTCAAGAGTTATATGTCAGGAAAGGTTGTTGTTTCTACCTTTTGAGGTCTTTCATCCCTGAAGACATCAATTCATAAGTATTTCCTCTCCTTGATCTTGAAGTGAAACTAATCTCCATCCTGTACATCTTTGTATGCTGTACTGAATGCAAGTTGTATGAAATTTTGTTAAAATCCAATCGGTGGGAAAGAAAAGCTGCTGACTAGGTTAATACCTTATTATTATTCAAATGAATGCTTATGTTTAATTATCTCCAGAAAAGAATTACTTTGACTAATGCACTTCTGCACATAGGGTACTACTTCTATTTGAAATTTCAAAAAAATTCATTTGGGGTTTCAAAAGAAGTGCTTACAATGGACTAATATGTCAATATGGGATGACAAATCCAAGAAACGTAAAATTTTATTATCTTCTTTTCAAGACACGCTCTGATATTAGGCTTCATTATCAACTATATTTTTGTAAAGTATTATTGAAATTTGTGTCCTGTTATAAGGGCCGCACTCACAAGAGGCATCATATAAATTCACGTTCCTTCATACAAAATTGTGGCACAAAATTAGTTTGCTTAACGTTTTTGCTGTGGTTACAAGTTTCATGGAAATAATGGTACAGCAGAGCAGCACTTATTATGATGGTTAACGCAATATCATCAGTTAATGACTGAAGTTGCTAGGTGCTCTAGTGCTAGCCTGTATACACCTTTTCAAATCGTCCAATAATAAAGAGATTTTCCCAAGGGAATGGAATAGGGCAGATGTTCTACCTGCATTCAAGAAGAATGCAAAGAACAGAGCCGAAAATCGCATGTCGGTTTTATTCGCATTCGATCATTGGTTGTAAAATGATCGAGCAGCATCATGAGGCACTTGGAACAACGCATATTGCCGATTGGCTTCCAAAAGTTTACATTGATCCTGTAAAATACAACTGACCATTACGACATCAATGATATAGCAAAGGAAATCAATGACACCAGTTAAATAATTTGTATAGGCTTTAAGATGTTTCGACGGCCTTCGGCAAGGTACAACAAAATGTATCATATGTAAGAGAAGGATCTAAAGGTACAAGACAACTGGAGGAATGGTTTTCCTCATACAAGTACACCGCAACGACTGTCCTCGAAAAAGGAAGATCTATACTAGTGCACTTGTCTAGTCAGTTTATCTGGGCAGTATAATGCAATCTAGGTTCTAAAACATTTCTGTATCAACGACATTCCGAATTACATAGTCAACAAATTATCAGTCTGACAGATGCTTGCGTTCTGTTCAGACACAACAAAACAATACAGACACAAGTTTGCTACAAGAAGAAGCGCAGACATTCCAAGCATCGTAGAACAACTGGCCTATGGTTGTTCGCCGTCATAAAAGTCAGGTTATGCATAACACCACCAAGAGACTATCTGTAAGACAACTAACCATATCACATCAGTTAATATGTCATGTAGGAAGAGGAATCGGCTAAGTTTTTGCAGAGACGTCTAAAAAGTAAAGTCACTAAAATACTGAACTCCGAGGAAAATTCAAAACGGAAAGTCCCTAATCAAATGGCAAAATACATATATATCTCTGGTTTTTGAGTTGATATCCATCACAAGAAACTGAATATATGAATATATATACACAGTGATGAGCCGACTCTAAATAAGATTTACTCACTCAAAACAAAAACAAAAATACTTACTATCACAACGCCTTGGTGCTTTTCTTTAGGTTAACATCTAACCAATTCCAATGCAAAACAAAAGAACTTTATAATATACTTTTGGAGGGAGTTGGGCTATGATCCTTGTTTCCGGATAATAACCTAATTTATCAACGGAGAATTTAAGGTATGTCATTATCCATGTCGCCTATTGACACTGAAAGGTGATGCTGATGACGCCCTCGTGGATCAGCAGTCCACCAGCCGCGATAACGACCCAGTGCTAGAAAAAAATAGAAGGAAAAAAATTAATAACCATCAAAATCGTCAGATCATCCGAAGATAGAACCATTTTTGTCGAGCCTGCGACATTTATGTCACGAAAGCGAGACATTTTTCATTTTCCCGTAGTTTACCATTAAATGGACTTTTTTACAGTTAACATTAAGATACATGCAGTCTGAGGTTAAAGTTTTTCTGTCATCAAAAACTTTGTTAAATCTTCATGGATTTTACATACGTTGGAGAGATGTTTCAAGTTATGATCAACGACAATATCCAGAGCAAAACAATAAAGATATGTTGACCTTTTTTCAATTTTCCCGTAGTTAACCGATAAAAGGACTTAATTTTTTGCATTTAACAAATACATACAGTCTCGGGTAAAAGTTTGTTGCACAACAATTAATTTGTCAACCCATCATCAAATTTTATGAAACTTTGGCAGACGCTTTTCTTGTGGTGAAAAGAAACTGAAGACTGAAGCCAAAGTTTTAAAAAATGTTCCTTTTGTTTTTCAGTATTTTACTGATAGCTGCACATAGTTATGTTGCAGTTAACATCTATAGACAGTCTGGGATTAAAAAAATGTTGCCAAACCTTCGTGGTTTGTTTTGAAACTTAAACATAAGCTAATCTTCAAGATCAAGCAATAGCATGTAAATAAGAAATTAGATTTTTTTTAATTCTATTTTACTGATAAATGGACTTACCTTTTACAGTCGACATTACACTTCACACATACAGCACCGATTGCAGGCGAGACACATGGTTCCGTAGAACCCTTTACGATTTTTACTGAATCTATCACGCCTGTATCCCTTAGGTACAAAGTTAGTACCTATAGAAATTCTATAGTTTGATTATATACAATCTTGACATAACAAACAAAAATATTAAGCAAGAAATTCTAATTATATCCGTGCATGTGCACACCAGGAACAGGCCAATGATTTTTTTTTTATATTTTATCACTAAGAATGACAGATTATTATTACAACAGATCAATTCAAGACCACCAAAAGCCTATATTCAATACGTTAACCAAGTTTATTTTTGACCAGATTATAGGGAATAGTAACTTGTGGAAAAAGTCAAGACTGTCCACAGCTTTAACTATATGATTAATGGAATTCAGCAAAAGCAATACAGTATAGGAAGCTATGAAAGACCTCGGGCTAAACAAGTGTGAATTTCAAAAGAGCTTTCGGAAAACCTACGGCCTGACCTATACATCAACAATGAAAGAAATACAATTATAGCAGACAACAACTAAAGACCAGCACTGGAATACAGGCTCCTGGCATGGGAGAGGCACATACAGCATGAGGCGGGTTTAACCATGATCGCGAGTGCCCAACCCTACCGCTAACACAGGGCAGTGTTGTAACAGAAAAACATAACCGACCTTAGAGTCATGAAAGCTAATCCAAAATCAAATCTCAACTAATAATTAAACAACTTAATCCCGAACTATGCAGTCATGCCAACCAGTAGATTCGGAATGGCTGTAAGGTCGCTATTAGTGTTAATGACTGAATAACAAAACATTTTTAATTAAACTTTTAAAAATAAAATCTATGTATAAGTAAGGTATCGTATAAGACAATATTCAAAGATCTTACTACAATGCTAAATTGTTAACCTTCAAAAATGAGCGTATTGAAAGGATCAATAATTGTATATGGATCGTATCTTAATTTACATGCTAGATAAACAACATCACCGTAAAAATAGGATGTGAAATCCCGTTTATAATAATATGTCTATAGGTGTATATAATTGATTTTTTTATACTGGATATTTTTCTGACCAGTGCCTCCCTCTGGACATACATCAGATTTGACTGGTGTTATTATCAGATCTGTCAGCTCCGCTATAGTGCAAACGCAGATAAACCTCTCAGTACATCTAGAAATAACATAAACAAATACTATAAAGATCAAACTAAAAATTTTAGTTTTTTTCCTGATAAGACCGAAGTGGCAAAAATTGTAAGTAATTCAGAACAAAAAAGGCTACTGGTTGTGTTAAAATTTTTGCGAAATTAATATAATTTGGTCTATAATGACAAATAAATTGACTGAACTAATAAACTATTGATAAAGATGTTTTCTCACATAAACTTGAAATGAAACAATGCTTTGTTTGTTTTCGACGAGGAACAACATAACACAACAATT